CTTCAACCAAAAAATCGCTCTAGAGTTATCTAACTCAAGAATGAGCTCTACCGTATCGAAATGAAGGATCTCACAGTAAATCAGTACCTCGCTCAGGTAAAAGCCTTAGTCGATAACATATCTGCTGCTGGATCCAATGTGGATCACGAAGACATCATTCTACACATCTTAAATGGCCTATCTCCATCCTACAATGCCTTTAAGACAGCTATTCGCACTAGACCTTCTTTTATTCCACTGGATGAGCTTTATTCACTCTTGATCAGTGAGGAAATTAACATACAGAAGGATCTCTCCAAAGACACTACAGCCTCCATGGAAGCCGTGCCTTAAACGCCTTCAAGAATACATCCTTAAGGAGTGCCGCTCCTGATCAAAACAGAGCTAATAGAGGTCGTTTCAACCCAAACAGAGGATCTTCACCGAGACCCCCCAACTCAAACAGTCGACCTCCCCGTAATCAATCAACAGCTCGAGTAATGTGTCAAATCTGCAATAAACCAGGTCACATAGCTATGCATTGCTGGCATAGAACTAATATCCAGTACACTCCCACGGCGCCAACCACTCAAAGAAGTTTCTTCACAAATCAGCAAAATGCATCTCCTACAGATTGGTACTTGGACTCGGGCGCTTCCTCTCATCTCACCTCCAATCCCCTCCAACTTCAACACCCCTTACCTTATACAGGTTCTGACAGCATCTCCATCGCAAATGGCACCTCTCTCCCAATCAATTCCACTGGCCAAGGACTACTTCCTCTACCCAATACTCAACGTAAGTTATATCTTCAAAAACTCTTACATGTCCCTTCACTTACTCATAATCTTTTATCCATTCAAAAACTCACTGCTGACAATGATTGTTCCGTTTGTTTTGACACCTTTGGCTTCACTATAAAGGACAATCGGACCAATCAAACTATCCTTAAAGGTCGAAGCCGAGACGGTCTATATGTTATACCTTCCACCACCATTTCAGCTCTACACAATCAACACAAATCAACCACAACTTGGCATGCTCGGTTGGGTCATCCCCATCTACAACTGCTTCAACACTTAGCTAGGCATAACTCTACTATATGTATTTCAACTAGTACTTCTTTTCAATGTGACTCATGTAATGTGGCCAAAAGCCACAAATTATCCTTTACTTCCAATGAAATGAAAACTTCTATACCTTTTGCACTTGTTCATTCTGACGTATGGGGCCCTGCACCTTGTTCTTCATTAAGTGGTTATAATTACTATGTATTATTTGTAGACGATTACTCCCGCTTCTCATGGATATACCCAATGCACAATAAAGCTGAAACTTTCTTAAAATTTCAGCATTTCTTTAATCTCATAAAAACCCAATTTAACACCACAGTTAAAATTTTGAGATCCGATGGTGGCGGTGAGTATCGTTCCAATAACTTCAGCATCTTTTTATCCCAATATGGTATTCAACATCAAATGACCTGTCCCTATACACCGGAAGAAAACGGTGTTTCGGAAAGGAAACATCGTCATCTCATCGAAACAACTAGAACTCTTCTCCACGCAGCTCACTTACCTCTAAAGTTCTGGTTGGAAGCACTACACACCGCAAATTATCTCATCAATCGGCTACCCTCTAAAACACTTCACTTCGATACTCCATATCACTTACTACATCATCAACAACCATCTTATACTCATTTAAAAACCTTTGGATGTCTATGTTATCCTTGGCTTAAACCATCTTCACCCAACAAATTACACCCAAGGTCTACAGCATGTATCTTTGTTGGCTATTCTCCTTCACACAAAGGCTACAGGTGCATAAATATTCAAAACGGCAAGATTCATATTTCCCGCCACGTTGTGTTCCATGAACACATCTTTCCCTATCCCATACCTACGCCTCCTACATCTAACCCCCTGCCAGCAACCAGTAACTCACCTCTCACACTTATTCCAATTTCCACAATTCCTTCCTCTCAACATAACCCTCCTAATTTTCACTCAGTAGATCCAATCACTTCACCTTTACCTCCACTCAATTCTCACCAACTCAACTCACCCACGGATCTCTCTACAGAATCGTCTTCATCCCATACTACCATTACACCTCACCCTCTCCATCTCAACCACCTCCCACTACATTCCCTCTTCCTCATCCAATGATCACAAGATCTAAAATAGGACATCTAAAACCCAAACAACAGTTCAATCTTCTAGCCACCCAGCAACCTCATTTCACCCCTACCTGCTTCAGCCAAGCTACCAAATCTGTCCATTGGAGATCAGCTATGTTTGAAGAACTCACTGCTCTTCAAAAACAAGGCACGTGGTCATTAGTTCCAGCTCATGCCAATCGAATCATTCTCGAAAATCAGTGGACTTTTCGTACTAAGTTCAAACCCGATGGCACCCTTGAACGATACAAGGCTCGCTTTGTAGCACAAGGCTTCAACCAACAATTTGGCATCGACTACAAGGATACCTTTAGTCCAGTTGCAAAAATGCCTACTATTCGCATTTTACTTACCATTGCTCTACATCATAGCTGGCCTGTTTTTCAATTGGATATTTCCAATGCATTCTTGCACGGAAAATTACAGGAGGAAGTCTACATGAAGCAACCGCAAGGTTTTATAGATGAGAACTATCCTGATTATGTGTGTAAATTGCATAAAACCATTTACGGGCTCAAGCAAGCTCTGAGAGAATGGTTTCAAACACTCACCAATTTCCTCCAGTCACTCGGGTTCAACTTCAGTAATCGGACCCGTCTCTACTACTCTATAAACATAATGGCATTCAAATTTATATGCTGTTGTACGTTGATGACTTCCTAATATCTGGAAATGATCGATCCAGCATCTCATGGCTCATTACTCAATTGCAGACACAGTTCTCTTTAAAAGGACTAGGCCCTATTTTGTTTTTTCTGGGCATTCAAGTTCTTCACAAGCCAAATGGTTATTTCCTGCATCAGACGCAATATGCCCAAGAAATATTGCAATCTGCTGGCTTAACCGACTGTCAACCTTCACAAACTCCAATTTCTCTCAAGCCGATTCTCAGCAACAGCAACTTTCTGGATTCTAACCCGAAGAAAAACAGACAAATAGCCGGTTCTTTGCAATACTTGACCATCACACGTCCAGATATTGCATACACGACAAATCGTATTTGCAAATGCATGCACAGTCCCACTGAACAAGATTTCAATACTCTCAAGAGGCTTCTACGCTACATCAAAGGAACATATTCCTTTGGTCTTCCAATCACTAGAGGTAATCTCCTTCTCACAACCTTCTCTGATTCTGACTGGGCATCAAATCCTCAAGACCGCAAGTCAATCTCTGGATTCTGCACGTACTTGGGAAATACACTCGTCTCATGGTGTGTCAAGAAGCAAGATACCGTCGCAAAGTCTTCAACGGAAGCTGAGTATAGATCATTAGCCTCCGCCAGTTCGGATATCATTTGGCTTCACAGATTAATTGCTGATTTTGAGGTGTTCCCAAACTCACCTACTACACTGCTATGTGACAACACTTCCACTCTAGCTCTAGCAAACAATCCTGTTTTCCACGCTAGAACAAAGCATATCGAAATTGATTATCACTTTACTCGGGAATGCATTCTATCCAAAGAAATTGATGTGCAGCACATAAATTCAACCGATCAGCCTGCAGATATACTCACTAAACCATTATCTCTTGCTTGATTTGCCATGCTTAGAGACAAACTTACCGTTCAATCTCTCGAACCATAAGTTTGTGGGGGGCTGTTAACACACGTGATAAGTTAGAAAGCTTATATAAGCCAAACAGCTTATAATCCACTGCTCCACCTCCTCTGCAGCGCATCATCACAGGAAATGGAATTCCGCCAGCGCCGCCTGACTCATCTGCAGTCCCTGATTTCTCCAACTAACTTGATTCCCTTACTATTGTTAAATACTCAAATGTATTAGCAAATACTATGGTGAAATGAATACCCGATTCATACCAGAGTTTCCTCTTCCTTAGTTCTGCTTCTTCTTCTTCCTTAGTTCTTAGTTCTACGTTTATCTAACCTTATCATTGCAGGTTATTTCAGCCTTAAAGGCACCAAAATAGCTTACTCTTTTCATAATAATTTCGCCAAAACTTTCAATTCAAATCATAATACACCTAGTGCAATCATATAAATATATATTTTATGACATGATAGCAAGCCTACAATGAAAAGACATTTAAGTCAAGCCTACAATGAATTAAAAATTAAACCTGTTAATTTCGGGTCACGGGGTCAGATTCGGGTCGAACACGTAATTTACCCAACACTATTCAGGTTCGGGTCAACCCGACTCGTTTTCACAAACGGGTCAATTTTTCAGACCCGCACCCGGCCTGCTTCGGGTTCGGGTTAACCCGACCTGCTTCGGGTTCGGGTTAACCCGACCTTACTCACTTCGGTTTGATTTTTGGGGTTCCCGCGCGGTGTCGAGGTAGGCCGGCAGCGGTGCAGCATCGACAGCAGGCGGGTAGGCAGGCTGCTCGGGTACGGACTGAGTGGTCACGCGACGCGAGATGTCATGAGTGGGGCTCGATGCGGGGCAGGCAGGCTGCCCGGGTACGTGGCATGGTCGCGGGGCAGAGTCGAGCAGTGCGGGGGCAGTCGGGGCGCGGGGCAGGCGGGATATATATCCTATATATAATTATAATTTTATAAATAATATATATACTTTTTTTTTAATGAATATGATATTTAAAAAATTTTATAAATAATATTTTAAAATTTTAAAATTATTAGGAGTATATATAATTTCTTAAATATCATATTCATTAAAAAAATTAAATAAATTATTGCACCAAAATAGCCTAGAATTAATGCTGAACGGTGTGCTTCTATTCCTCATCAATTTAGTTCGGTGAAGAAGCTGACCAACCTTCCGTCAGCAATTACTAAGGAATCTTTACTAATAATTGAGCACTTGCTCATCCAAAGTGCTCATCGACTATAAAACAAGCCTTCCAATCCATTCCAGAGTAAAATCAACCGCATAACAAAGTATCCTGCGATCCAGCCATTATCCAGCTATGTGCTCCGAAGCCAATCCTCTCCATATGCTTTTCTTCCCTTTAACGATGCAAGGCCACATGCTCCCTATGGTCGACATGGCCAAGATCTTTGCCGTCCATGGTGCCCGCGTCACCATCCTTACTACTCCTGTTAATGCCACCATTATTCGCCCCAATATCGATGACTCTGTTCATCTCCACATCATCCCTTTTCCCACTGTCGAATTCGGCCTCCCCGATGGGTGCGAAAACAACTTATTCATCCTTTCTGATGACCTACAAGTCAATCTCATGAAAGCTAACTATTCGCTTCGCCACACTTTTGACTCCGTGGTTGTAGATCTCAGCCCCGACTGTGTTGTAACTGATTTATTCTTGCCATGGACATATGATGTTGCTACTGCGAGAGGTATTTTGAGGCTTGTCTTTCATGCTACTAGCAACTTCTTAGCCTGCGCCACGAGTGCTTTACAGCAATGCCTCCTACCAGCAAACAAGGTTGAGTCCTTTGTCTTGCCCGGCCTCCCACATCGAATAGAGATGTTAAAAACCCAAATCATAGACTTCAACAAATTAGCAGGAACGCCAATGGAGTTCATGATGGAGATACTTAAGGAGGCGGCAGAGGTGGAAGTGAAGAACTATGGGGCATTGATGAATAGTTTCTATGAGCTAGAGTCTGAATATGCAGACCACAACCGCGAGAGGGTGGGAAGGGTGTGGAATGTCGGCCCAGTTTCTCTATGCAACAAAGAGGTGATAGATAAGTCAACAAGAGGTGGGGAGTATCCAGCGTTTGTTAACGAGTGCCTGAAATGGCTTGACAAAAAACCTACAGGCTCGGTCGTGTACATGTGCTTTGGAAGTATGAGCCTTTTCTCGGTTGAGCAATTGAGTGAAATGGCGCTTGGGCTCGAGGCATCAAGACATCCATTTGTTTGGGTGATGCGGAATGAGGGCAATGATTGGATTCCAAAGGGCTATGAAGAGAGAATTAAAGATGTAGGGATGTTGATAAGAGGATGGGTCCCACAACTAGTTATACTAAATCATGATGCAGTTGGGGGATTTGTGACTCATTGTGGGTGGAATTCTAGTTTAGAAGGAATTAGTGCGGGGTTGCCGATGGTAACATGGCCATTGTATGCGGATCAATTTTTTAATGAAAAGCTTTTGATAGATATATTGAAGGTTGGGATAATGGTGGGCTCAAAAGTGAACACTTTTAATATGGAGACGAGGCCAATTGTGAAGGCTATGGTAGTGGAGATGGCTATTAGGAGATTGATGGGGGATGGGATGGAGGCAAATGAAAGGAGGAGGAGGGCTATACAACTAAGGGAGATGGCCAACAGAGCTGTGGATAAGGGAGGGTCATCTTATGAGGAGATCAAAAATTTGATGAATGAATTAATTGATCGAAAGAAGCGTGTGTAGCTTAGCTATTGTTGTCTACAATTATTGTGTAGTTAAATGTTTGCATCTCACTTAAAGTTTAAATTAGCAACTTATTTAAATGGTTCTAAAGTACTTTTTATGCAAATTGCTAGTAATAGTTGTTGCATCGCGATATAAAGCTATAAAGAAGTTGTTTCATGAGGTGCTGAAAAGGATCTATTTATGACTGCCATCATGGGTTAGGCCTTTGCTATTCTAAAGAAAATGACACCCTTTGTAATAGTTAACATGGTAGCAAAAATTTATAGAATTCGAGTGATACTCTGAGTTTGCTAGCGGGCAAGAACATCAAAACACAGTCTGATAGTCATCTTCAAACCACCACATGAACATCATTACCAAAACACTGTTGGATCGCCACCAATTTATTATGGTCATTCGACCTTCATCGCTAGATTTTAGTTTTTTTTATCTCCGTCACTCAAGAATAATCTTTTAACCATCGTTGCCAACTACAGTCATTAAAATGTCATAATAGTAACAAAATTGAGTGACAATGCATGATCTCATTAAATTTAGTTCATCATGTATTCGTTCTAATTTCTAATCTTAAGTGCCAAAGATTATAAATTTATTTGGCCTCTCAAATAATTTCATAAAACTTTCACCTATATTCGAGTCTATTTGAACTCTAATAAAATACTTTTTATGCCACTATATTCGTCTTATCAAAAACTAATTTTGTTTATAGACTTGCTATCTCTAAATTTAGATGATCATAAAAATATTTATAAACTATATTTGATAAAATGTATTTCAATATATATTTTAATATAACTAATATTTCTTTACATCCATACATCATTTTAAATATCAATGTCATAACAAACATCTCACTATCTCACATTATAACACTCCATTTAAGTCAAGCCTACAACCAATTAAAGCACATTCTGTCAAAGTCATGATGTTCTTTCACTTTTGCCTCTTAGATTTTATTTGGGGCGACTTTCTTTTTACTTTTTAAAGCAATTTTCTACTTGTATATAAAATATAATTTTTATACTAGAAAATTGTTTTATGAAAAATAGTAAGAAAGCCGTCCCACATGATGCCTTTATTTCAACTGTTATTTTATTAGGTCATATCAATTTTAAAAATATAAATTGATATGACAACATATATTTCAAAATAATACAAGTTATTTAATTTGATATAAATTTAATATATTTAAATATTTACCTACCTCGGTTGAACCACCACACTCGACCTCCACTATCAAACCACCATCATAAACATCATAAACAATTGCCTGATTTCTATTCTCAAACAACAGCTCGATAGTCATCGTCAAACCATCACAAGAATATGGGTACCAAACCATTGTTGGACCTCCACCAATTGCTTATTGTCCTTTGACTTTTTTTCGCTATATTATGATCCTCTGATCTCTATATGTCAAGAATATTCATCTGATCACCATTGTCTACTGTAGACATTATACTATTTTCGTCCAATTATGGTCGTCTGACCTACAGTCCTCTGACTGTTATCGTCTGGCTACACTAAATCCAGCTATAATTTGTAATCTATTATAGCTAACAATGTCAATGTATACTATCACTTATAAGATCGTTGTACATAATTATCCGTCCATACAATAATATCGTTAATAATAAATGATCTTGTAGATCATAAAATTTTTTTTAATCATAAAAATGTCTTAATAATAAAAAAAATTTAGCGAAATTGATCTCATTAAATACAAAAATTATATGGCCTCTCAAAGATACTATTTAAAAATAAAAATTGAAATATCATATTCATCCAAAATAAATAAATAAATAATTACACCGAAATAGGCCTGAATTATTGCTAAACTTTGTCCTTTTGTTCCTCAGCAATGACGATAAGCTTCATATATTGAAATAGTTTTGTTATGGAACCTTTACTAATAATTAAGCGCTTTCTCATCCACTATAAAATGAGCCTTCCAATCCATTCCACTGCTATCCAGCAATTGTTCAGCTATGGGGTCCAAATCCAATAATCTCCACATGCTTTTCCTCCCTTTCGTGGTGCAAGGCCACGTGCTCCCCATGATCGACATGGCCAAGTTCTTCACTGCTCGTGGTGCCCGCGTCACCATCCTTATTAGTCCTGTTAATGCCACCATTATCCGCCCAACTTTGATGTCTTTTCTCATCTCCACATCATCTCGTTTCCCTATGTCGAATTTGGCCTCCCTGACAGGTGCGAGAACAACTCCTTCATTCTTTATGATGACCAACACAACAACCGCTTCAAAGCCGCCTCTTCGCTTTGCCACATTTTTTACTCCGTGCTTAGCGATCTCAGATCTAATTGTGTCATAACTGACATATTCTTGTCATGTACATACCATAATCCAATCGGAAGAGGTATTGTGAGGCTTGTTTTTCATGGAACGAGCAACTTCGCACTCTGTGCCATGATTGCTTTCGAGCGGGGTTGCCTACTAGTAGACAAGTTCGAGTCCATTGTCCTGCCCGAACTCAAACACCAAAGAGAGAAGTTAAAAACCAAAGTCATGGACTTCAACAAATTTGCATGAACATCATTAAAGTTAATCTTAGAGGCATTTAATGAAGAAGCAGAGGTGCATTTGAAGAGCTATGGCACATTGATAAATAGTTTTTATGAGCTAGAGGTCGAATATGTTGACCACCACCATAAGAAGATGGGAAGGGTGTGGAATGCCAGCCCAATTTCTCTATGCAACAAAGAGCGTGGAAAGGGTGTGGAATGCCTGCCCAGTTTCTCTATGAAACAAAGAGGTGATACAAGTCAACATTAGGAGGAGAGTAAGCAACGTCTTTTAACGAGTGCTTGAAATGGCTTGACAAAAAACCTACAGGCTCGGTTATGTACATTAGCGCGAGCGCGGCAGCGCAACACGCGTGGCGACGGGGCAGCGGGCAGAGGGCGGGGGCAGCGGGCAGAGACCTGGAATTTGAATTTTTTTTTAAATTAAACGGGTTGGCGGGTTGACCCGGCAACCCGCCGGGTCAACCCGAACCCGACCCGTTTTTTAAACGGGTCAATTTCTGGAACCCGAACCCGACCCGTTTTGAAATCGGGTCGGGTCCAACCCGGATTTTCCGGGACGGGTCCGGGTCGGATTTTCATGTCGTATCTAGGATTGTTACATTGCTATATAAAGCTATAGAGAAGTGGTGTCATGAGGTGTTGGAAAGGATCCACTGATGTCTGCCATCATGGGTTAGGCGTTTGCTATTCTAGAGAAATTGACACTCTTTGTAATAGATGGTATTAGTATCTAGAAATGTGTCTCTTTCCACAATTTATTTTATACAATGAAGCTTTTCCAACTTCCATCCTGCAATATGTTTTATACATTGGCTGTTCACTAAGTTGTTTGAATGCCTTCCCATGAAGAAGAGTGTCATATGTAATAAATAGCAAAAACTAGTGAAATTTTTTCAATTCGATGATGCATATGGTTTTTCCCTTTTCTAGATTTTTCATACAAAAGCTTTACAATGTGTGATGGATCTTTGAACAATGCTAAGATAATAAACTCTTAGTTTTTTGTTGGAGCTTCATATTAAGAGCAAGCAATCAAACATAAAAAGACCCTACGCCATAACTAAGATTGAAAAACAATATTTATTATATTTAATTAATGTATTATAACTGAATAAACATTTCACTTAGAGACATAATGTGAAACGAGTATATATGTAAAAGGGTTGGAGTAGCTCCAATTACACATAAAATTACAGTGAGTCGCCTTAGATGATTTGGTCACGTAAAAAGTCAGCCTTCTGATGATCCCACATAAAATTAGAGAGAGTCAGCTTAGATGATTTGGTCACCTGAAAAGTTAGCCTTCTAATGATCCTGTTAGGAAAGAATATGTATTAGATCTAGTTTATATTAAAAAAATAGAAGTAGATCAAAAGACATGGTTAGAAAGTATAAAAATAATTTTTTTATTAAATTTAAATATAAATTTGATTCTTAATAAGATAAGATGGAGACATAAGATATATGTAGTTGATCCTAAGTAATTTAATAAAGACTTATTATTGTAGTTGTTATTGACTAATTAATATTGAATATACTTTCTAAAATTATTATTAAATAAATATTTTATATTCCTTTCATCACAAATTAAATATAAGAAACTTAAAAAATTTTGTATTTATTTTTTGTATATACCGTTGATAAATTAAAATTTATAATATACAAGTTAAAATAAAATAATAATGGAAACGAAATAGCCCTAAATTCATGCTTGACTTTGTCCTTTTATTCCTCCATCAGTTGCAAAGTTCCGTTAGCAATGACGATAACTTAGTAAATTGAAGGAATTTGGTTATGGAATCACATTCACTACAAAATGAGCCTCCCTCCATCCAAGACCCATAGAATCTTGCTCTCGAGCCATTGCCCAGCTATGGGTTCTAAAGCCGATCATCTCCACATGCTGTTCTTCCCTTTCATGGCTCAAGGCCACATGCTCCCTATGGTCGATATGGCCAAGATCTTTGCCGCTCGTGGTGCCTGCGTCACCCTTCTCACTACTCCCATTAACGCCACCATTATCCATCCCAATATCGATGACTCTATTCATCTCCATGTCATCCATTTTCCCTCTGCCGAATTCGGCCTCCCCAACGGGTGTGAGAATATAGCATTTATTCATTCTGATGACCAACACGGTAAATTCATGGAAGCTACGTCTTCGCTCCGCCAGCCTTTTGACTCTGTGCTTAGAGATCTCAGGCCCGACTGTGTCGTAACTGACATATTCTTTCCATGGACATATCATGTTGCAATCGCGAGAGGTATTCCGAGGCTTGTTTTTCATGGCACCGGCAACTTCACGGCTTGTGCGAAATGGGCTTTCGAGCGGTGTTGCCTGCTAACTGACAAGCTCGAGTCCTTTGTCCTACCCAACCTCCCACATCGAATAGAGATGTTAAAAACACAAGTCCTGGACTTCAACTTAGCAAGAACGCGAACGGAGATCATCATGAAGATAGCTAATGAGGCGAAAGAGGTGCAATCAAAGAGCTATGGCACGTTGATGAATAGTTTCAATGAGCTTGAGTCTGAATATGTGGACCTTTACTGCAAGATGAAGGGAAGGGCATGGAATGTTGGCCCAGTTTCTTTATGCAATAAGGAGGTGATCAACAAGTCAATAAGAGGTGGGGAGTATGCAACATCTGTTAGTGAGTGCTTGAAATGGCTTGATAAAAGATCAGTAGGCTCAGTTGTGTACATCTGCTTTGGAAGTGGGAGCTTTTTCTCGGTGGCACAATTGAGAGAAATAGCACTTGGGCTTGAGGAATCCATGCATTCATTTGTTTGGGTGGTGCGAAATAAGGGCAATGATTGGATACCAAAGGGATATGAAGAGAGAATTAAAGACATTGGGATGGTGATTAAAGGATGGGCCCCACAACTAGTGATATTGAATCATGAAGCGGTTGGAGGATTTGTGACTCATTGTGGGTGGAATTCTAGTTTAGAAGGCATTAGTGCGGGGTTGTCGATGGTGACATGGCCATTGTACGCAGATCAATTTTATAATGAAAAGTTTTTGGTAGATATATTGAAGGTTGGGGTGATGGTGGGCTCAAAGGTGTTCACTTCTAATGCAAATTTGAGGCAGATTGTGGAGGCTTCAGCAGTTACAACAGCTATTAGGAGGTTGATGGGGAATGGGATAGAGGCAGAGAAGAGAAGGAGGAGGGCAAAGGAACTTGGCGAGATGGCGAAAAAAGCTATGGATAAGGGAGGGTCATCTTATGAGGAGATTGGAAATCTGATGCATGAACTAATGGAACGAAAGAAGCATGTGTAAGCATGTGAAGCTTAGCTCAAGGATTTTTTTTCTTCTTCTTTCAAATTAATGCCTAGTTAATTGTTCTCTCACTAAAGTTTCTAATTATCATCTTATTCAAATGGTTTATCATTTTTTTTTTCTGCAAATTGTTGGGAGATGTAGTTTTACTATGAAAAGACGAGTTTATTTAATTATTGAGTTCTAATTATTTTTAAATTGATAATCTTTGGAATAAATCTTTTTAATTTCAATAAAAATCATTATACAATTCAAACATGAGTAAAAAGAATAAAAAAAAGAGTAAAAAGAATAAGAAAGATAGCCAATTTTATTTTATGATACTTTTTTAAAAATTTTACACAAAATTTTCAAGCCTGGTTTAGGATTTGTTTAATTTAATTTTGTTTATTTTTTCCTAAAATTTATTTGAAAAATAACATAACATATTTTATATTTTATTTTCATTCAAAAAAAATATAAATTTTGTTGAAAAAGAACCACAAATTTACTCTTAGATTTTTAAAATTATTTATATTATTTATGCCCTCATCTTTGCCCGTGGAACGAAAGGCAAGAAGCAAAGATCTTTGAAAGAGTAAGATATTATTGTATAGGTCGTTCAGTGAACTGACATTACTCTTATAATTTAAGATACAGTGATTTCTTTTCCCACCTCACAAACCCCTCTTGAAACAAACCCTCCCGCTTTTCTCTTTCTCCGAAGGAACGGCAAATAACTGTTTGATAATGGAGATAATGAGGACTGGGAATGGGATCAAGAGGCACGAGCTAAGAGCATCTCCAATGGAACGGCAAATAACTGTTTTCCGTTCTTCTGTTGCACCAACCGAGCGGTAATTCTTACGTCATTTCATTGCGGATGGACAGTGTGATGTCAATATTGATGTTGTACTGTTCATCTTTGCCATTTTTGGTCTCTACCGAATTTGCAGAAAAAACGCGCGAAAGAAGAGAACGATCGTTACAGGGCAAAATAGAATTCGATTGGAGATGAATCACAACATTTTTTAGTTTCACGACATTTTGGAGTTAAAAATGAGATTTTCGGTTGGAGATGCCCTAATATACTTGGCAAGTTGTCAATGTCATTAGAGATGGTCATGGGGCACCAATGTTGATGTTTCCTTAGTGCCAAAAAATATGATAGCTCATATGAATACTATGGTATATCTTGTTATCATGAAATATGAACCAAAGATAGGCCTTTAGATCATGGCATATTATTCACCAATCAGTGATGTCCATAGCGAGATGCCTTAGGTAGAGGACAATGCCATAGAGGCTTTTTAAGGCAACTCATAGTCAATAGTAGTTAATGGGATTGTTGAGGTCTCATTTGCGAGGAAGATGACATGGTTCATAGTAGAAATGTTGACGAGTCAATGAATTCTATGTGGGGGGGGGGTATGCATGTTTGCAGTCAAAACAGTACAATACGGGGGGGCGGGGAGATTTTTGGGGTTACAGTACCTTTCTGCCCATTTTGAGTTGCTATGAAGTTGAGCAAAGAAGAGAAACAAAATGATTTGCTACTAAAAGAAAAACTTGGATGGTTCCCCTTCCATAGCCATGAAGAGAATGACAATGACCATCATAGCTAGGATTGTTACATCGCGATCAGAAGCTATAGAGAAGTGGTGTTGGTGAGGATCCATTGTTGACTAAGGCGTTTGCTACTCTAGAGAAAATGACACCCTTTATAATAAAGGGCATTATTATCTAAAAAGGTGGGTCTTTCAACAATGTAGCCAAGTAGCAAACCTGATATGTAAAATTTTAAGTATAAAGATGGAGAACTTTAATGAGTTTACTAAAGATGAGCATCAACTTTTCCAAAGTTTCATAATAAAAAAGCTTTAGGACATTAATTAAAAGAACATACAACCTCCAAATCTCTCAAGATGAATCCAATAAGTCCAAAATCATCAAATTTTAAGATTATTTAGACCCTTAAATTTAGAAGAATGTCCTATGACAGGATGATTAATATTTATGAAGCATGTCACTCTTAAAACTATATAAATTGGCCTTCGCTTTACATTTTGGGTGGCGGGGGAAATGGTTGAGGTTTAAGAGAACTTAGAGACTTGAAGAATGACATAGCTCCATCAAACCCTTGCTTTATTTTCCTCCATCGAACGACCACCACACTAGCCTTCCACCTCCACCATCAAACCATTACAAAACTACCATCATCAGACAACTGCTTGATGTTATTCCCCATAATCTAATTCAAAAGAATTATTTTTTTTAAAAAATATTTTTTCATCTAAATCACATATAATGAGCTCAAGAGCCTAACAAGTAATATATCCTACAGTCGAACTCAACGCAAAGAAAAAGAGCAATATGCATGTTTGCAGTCAAAACAGTACAATATAAAATCCAATAAAGCAGTACGGTGGGAAAATCAATAAACCAGTTCAAGTGTCGAATCGATAAAACAATCATCTTATTAGTACATCATCAATCAGCAATATATTAATCATATAAAGCGATAAAACCAAAGCATTGGTAAATAATTGTCGAACTCAGATCAATGTAGTAAAATCATATATAAGTGTACACATAATATTCACGTCGTCTATATCAGCATTAAATCAATATCTTACATGCTCAGTATGTCACATACTTAGTATAAGTACAATGAATCAGTAATATCAAACAGTATTGATGTCAATATCGATAAAAGTAATAGTCCATTGGATGGAGCAGTAAAATAATATGCTTCATCCTTAGTCTCACATTATAAAACTCCATTTAAGTTCTGCATACAACCAATTACAGCACACTCCGTGGTAGCCATCATGTTCTTCCACTTTTGAGTTTTGTCTCTTAGTTTCAAATGATATTTTATTAGGTTTTATCAATTTTAAATATATAAAATGATATGACAACATATATTTTAAAATTATCCAAGTTATTTAATTTGATCTAAATTAAAAATATTTAAATATTTAACCGCATTCGTTGAACCACCATCATCAACCTCCACTATCAAACCATGATCATTAAACAACTGCTTGGTCTCTATTATCAAGCAAACGCTCGATAATCTTCATAAAACAAACACATGAATATTAGTACAAAATAATTGTTGGACCGCCACAAATTGATTATCATCCTCTGACCTTCTTCGCTAGATTATGATCCTCTGATCTCTATCAGTCAAGAATAATCATATGATCATCATTATCAACTGTAGTCATTAAACTATAGTCGTCCAATTATGATTGTCTGACCTAAAGTCCTTTGACCGTTATCTCATGGCCATAGCAACACCTGCTATAATTTTTAATGTACTATCACTAACAATGTCAATGTACACTATCACTTATAAGATCGATGTAAATAATCAGCCCTAACTTTGGCTCTTTGTTATAGAGCCAGGATTTAAGTTAGATGTCACTGCAATAATGTCACTAATAATAAATGATCTCGCAGGTCATATAATAATTTTTCAATCATCAAAATGCCTTAATAATAACAAAAAACATTGGCAAACTAATTAACGGATCAACAATTGTAAAATCTTGTATGCTTATTAGTCAAAATAAGGATCATGTCAAGATGAGTCCAACAAGCTCAAAATCAACTAATTTTAACATCATTAAGACACTCAAATTTTAAAAGAATGTCCTATGAAAGGGTGATTGATATTATCCACCCAATTAAGTACATTGAATTTTTTGCTCTAAATTTATGAAGATTGTCACTCTTAAAAATATATAAAGAGGCAGTTTGAGGATGATTAGTCCCTGACCTTCACCATTATAATACTACTAAACCACCATCACCATACAACTGTTTGATATCCATTAGCGAAGCCTGGCTGATAGTCATCGTCAAACAATCAACCACATGAACACTGTTACCAAATCATTTTTTGATGGCCACCAATTTGTTATGGTTATTCAACCTTCATTAGACTATGACTTTTCGATCTTCATCTCTCAAGAATACCATCATTGCCAACTACAGACATTAGACTAATTATTTCAATTAGATAATGCACGCGGTCATGCCCTTTTATAGGTTTTTCACATAAAAGTTCCATAGTGTGTGCTGAATCCTTAAACAATGCTAAGATAATAAACTCTGAGTTTCTTGCTGGATCTTCATATTAAGAGCAAGCAATCAGACATAAAAAGACCACGCCATAACTATGATTATAAACAAGCTTTATTAAATTTAATTCATTTATTATAACTAAATAACATTTCACTTAGTGACAGAATATGAAAAGAGTATATACATAAAAGGGCCTTGTAATATTATAAATACTTATTATTGTCGTTGTTATTGACTAATTGAATATTAAATATACTTTCTGAAATATTTCTTAAATAAATATTATATATTCTTTTCATCACAAATTAAATATAAGAAATTTAAAAAATTATCCAAAAAAGATAATTTTTATTATGATATATATTATCTTAGATATAAGGACTACAGTTCAAAATATTTTTATGCAAAAATTTTATAATTTTTCATTTCAGATTAAATATTAGAAATTTCAAATTTTTTGGATTTATTATATATGTACACTCCTTACAAATTCAATTTTGTAATATACTATTTAAATAGAAAATTTAAACCATCATATTCATCCAAAACAAATAAATAAATAATTGCACCGCCATAGCCCTAAAATAATTCTTAACAGCTTTATCCTTTTTATTCCTCATCAGTTTGTTTTAACCATTGGTCAGCGATGACGATAGCTTCATAAATTGGAGTAATTAAACACTTTCTTATCCACTATAAAATTAGCCTCCACTCCATTCAAGCCATCATCCAGCTATGGGCTCCAAAGCCACTCATCTTCACATGCTTTTCTTTCCTTTCATGGCGCAGAGCCACTTGCTCCCTATGGTGGACATGGCCAAGATCTTTGCCGCCCGAGGTGCCCGCGTCACCATCCTCACTACTCCCGTTAATGCCAGCATCATCCGCCCCAACATCGATGACTCTGTTCATCTCCACATCATCCCTTTTCCCTCTGCCGAATTCGGCCTCCCCGATGGGTGCGAGAACCACTCCTTCATTCTTCCTGATGACCAACACACAAACTTCTTCAAAGCTACCTATTCGCTTCGCCACCCTTTTGACTCTGTGCTTAGAGATCTCACCCCCGACTGTGTCGTAACTGACATGTTCTTGCCATGGACATACCATGTTGCCAATGCCAGAGGTATTATGCGGCTTGTCTTTCACGGCACAAACAACTTCGCAATCTGCGCTATGAGGGCTTTCAAGCAGTGCCGCCTACTAGCAGACAAGGATGAGTATTTTGTTTTTCCAGGTCTCCCACATCAGATAAAGATGTTGAAAACCCAGGTCATGGACTTTAACAAATTAGCGGGAACACCATTAGAGCTCATCTTGGAGACGCTTAATGAGGCGGCGGAGGTGGAATCAAAGAGCTATGGCACATTAATGAATAGTTTTTATGAGCTAGAGACTGAATATGCTGACCACTACCGCAAGATAATAGGAAGGGCGTGGAATGTCGGTCCGGTTTCTCTATACAACAATGAGGTGACCAACAAGTCAGCAAGAGGTGGGGAGTATCCAGTGTCTGTTTACGAGTGCTTGAAATGGCTTGACAAAAGACCAACTGGCTCAGTGGTGTACATGTGCTTTGGAAGTGGGAGCCTTTTCTCGGTTGAGCAGTTAAGAGAAATGGCGCTTGGGCTTGAGGCATCAAGACATTCATTTGTTTGGGTAGTGCGGAATGAGGGTGAAGATTGGATTCCAAAGGGGTATATAGAGAGAATCAAAGAGGTAGGGATGCTGATAAGAGGATGGGCTCCACAACTAGTGATACTAAATCATGCTGCGGTTGGGGGATTTGTAACTCATTGTGGGTGGAATTCTAGTTTAGAAGGGATTAGTGCGGGGTTGCCGATGGTAACATGGCCATTGTATGCTGATCAGTTTTATAATGAAAAGCTTTTGGTAGATATATTGAAGGTTGGGGTAATGGTGGGCTCAAAGGTGAACACTTTTAATAAAGAGACAAGGCCAATTGTGGGGGCTGCGTCAGTGGAGATAGCTGTTAGAAGGTTGATGGAGAATGGGATGGAGGCAAATGAGAGGAGGAGGAGAGCAAAACAACTTGGGGAGATGGCCCAAAAAGCTGTGAATGAGGGAGGCTCATCTTATGAGGATATAAAAAAATTGATGAATGAATTAATGCATCTAAAGAAGCATTTGTAGCTTAGCTCGGGAATTTTATTTCTTCATTTAAAATTAATGCCTAGTTAATTTGTTTTTGTTAGTGTTGCTTCAATTTCAATTACGAAATTATTAAGAAGCTTTAATTTTTTTTTAATAATGAGAAATTAAGTTGAATATATTTAGTGACTAAAAAAATGAGTATAAATAAGTTAAAATAAATAAGACTACTTGATATCTCATAAAAATTTGCCTTGATTTAGCACGAATCTCTAGGTATATTTAATTTAAAAAGTACCAAAATTAAATCAGCACTATCTGAACTTCAATTTCAATAAACTTATAGTCCTACTGAATGTCTTGAAGAGACAAATCCAAGTTAATAAAATCGGTCCAATCTGAACCCAAATGGGTCCAAATCGAAGCTTAGTTTAATTGAATTTGTTTATTTTTTTCCTAAAAATCATTTGAAAAAAGACTTAACATATCTATTTTTCAAAAAAGAACCCCATAAATATTATTCACCAATTAGAGATGTCCATAGTGAGATGACATGAGTAATGTCAAAATGTAATTGATTTATATGTGAGGGGTTGCCTTAGGTAGAGGGCAATGCCATAAAGGAGTTCTTGGAATACATGAAATCTCTCTTGCTAGGAAGATGACATGGAACATAGTAGTAATTTTGATGAGTCGATGATTGCTACGTGTACCCCCTTCCGTCCATTTTGAGGAGCTATGAAGTGGAGCAAAGTAGGGAAACAAAATGATTTGTTGCAAAAAGAAAAAAATTTGCATGGTTCGCTTTCCATAGCCATGAAGAGAAAGGCAATGACCATCATAGCTAGGATTGTTACATCATGATCTAAAGATATAAAGAAGTGGTGTTATGAGGTACGGTGATGGTGAGGATCCATTGTTGACCGCCATCAAAGATTAGGTGTTTGCTACTCTAAAAAAAACGACACCTTTTATAATAAGGGGCATTAATATCTAAAAATGTGGCTCTTTCGACAAAGTGGCCAAGTAGTGAACATGATATGCAAAATTTGTAGTATCCAAGTGGTCCTTGGAGTTTGCTAAAGATGGGGAACTTGAAAGAGTTTACTAATGACGAGGATGTGGAACTTTAAAGAGTTTACTAATGATGAAGATCATCTTTTCCAAAGTTTCATAATAAAAACAACATACAACCACCAAATATCACTAAACAGTATACTCATATTCAAATCAAGTGTCACGTAAAGGCGATCCAATGAGCCCAAAATCATCTTATTTTAACATTAAATATTGATGGATTTGAATTTATTTTAAGTTCTTTGGTTAAATATATTCTTTTATAACCTATAATGTCTATTGTACATATTATTTTAAGCTATTATTGTAGAATTTAAATATTGATTATAGAAATAAAATAATATTTTTTCTTGTTGTATATTTTTTTTAGTATAATTAATCAGCTTTGGATACCCAATTGACCTAATTGTACATGAATGATTATTAGTTAGCAACTAAAAGAAAAAAAAGAATGAGTTGGCCCCCACTTTTCAATTGTTCGGTTTTAGTATATTTGAACTCAAATAAAATATTTTTTAAGTCATTAGATTTTTTCTTAAATATATCTGTTTATGGAAAGCCATTTGAGTCAAGCCTACGATGAATTAAAAACACTGTAAGTCATTATGTTCTTCTTAAATTGAAATAATTTGGCTAAGGAATCTTTACTAATAATTGAGCACTCGCTCATCCACTATAAAATGAGCCTTCCAATCAATTCTAGAGTAAAATCAACCACATAACATAGTACCCTGCAAAATAGCCATATATTATCCAGCTATGTGCTCCGAAGCCAATCATCTCCACATGCTTTTCTTCCCTATAATGGTGCAAGGAAACATGCTCCCTATGGTTGACATGGCCAAGATCTTGGCTGCCCGTCGTGCCTGCATCACCATTCTCACTACTCCCGTTAATGCCATCATTATCCGCCCCAATGTCAATGACTCTCTTCATCTCCATATTATCCCTTTACCCACTGTCGAATTTGGCCTCCCCGATGGGTGCGAGAACAACATCTTCATCCTTTCTGATGACCAACACGTCAACCTCATGAACGCTAACTATTTGCTTCATCACCCTTTTGACTCCGTGCTTGCAAATCTCAGCCTCGACTGTGTCGTAACTAATTTATTCTTTCCATGGACATATGATGTTGCTGTCATGAGAGGTATTTTGCGGCTTGTCTTTCACGCCACTAGCAACTTCTTAGCCTGTATCATGAGTGCTTCACAGCAGTGCCGCCTACCAGCAGACATGGTTGGGTCCTTTGTCTGGCCCGGCCTCCCACATCGAATTAAGATGTTAAAAATCCAAATCATAGACTTCAACAAATTAGGAGGAATGTCAAAGGAGTTTATCATGGAGACACTTAAGGAGGTGGCGGAGGTGGAAGTGAAGAACTATGGGACGTTGATGAATAGTTTCTTTGAGCTTTAGTCTGAATATACATACCACCACCACCAGATGGTGGGAAGGTTGTGGAATGTCTGCCCATTTTCTCTATGCAACAAGAACATAATAGACAAATCAACAAGAGGAGGGGAGTATGCAGCGTTTATTAATAAGTTCTTGAAATGGTTTGACAAAAGACCTACAAGCTGGGTCATGTACATGTGCTTTGGAAGTATGAGCCTTTTCTCGGTTGAGCAACTGAGTGAAATGGCGCTTGGGCTCGAGGCATCAAGACATCCATTTGTTTGGGTGATCTGGAATGAGGGATTCCAAAGGGCTATGAAGAGAGAATTAAAGATGTAGGGATGTTGTAAGAGAATGGGCCCCACAACTGGTTATACTAAATCATGATGCAGTTGGGGGATTTGTGACTCAATATGGGTGGAATTCTAGTTTAGAACAAATTAGTGTGGGGTTGTCTATGGTAACATGTCCATTATATGCTGATCAATTTTATAATGAAAAGCTTTTGGTAGATATATTGAAGGTCGGGATAAAGATGAGCTCAAATGTGAACACTTTTAAAACGAGCCTTCCATTCGAGAGTAAAATCAGCTGCATAACATAGTAATGTAGACAGAAAAGACATATTGTTGTCGTTGTTATTGACTAAAAGAATATTAAATATATTTTGAGAAATATTTCTTCAATAAATATTTTATATTCTTTTCATCACAAATTAAATATAAGAAATTTCAAAAAATTTTGTATTTATTTTTTATATATGCCACTAATAAATTAAAATTTATGATTTAAAATTTAAAATAAAATTAGAATGACATATTCATTCTACAAAAATAAATAATGGAAATGAAATAGCCCTAAATAAATGCTAGACTTTGTCCTTTTATTCCTCCATCAGTTGTAAAGTTCCGTTTGCAATGAAGATAACTTAGTAAATTGAAATAATTTGGTTATGGAATCACATTCACTACAAAATGAGCCTCCCTTCATCCGAGACCCATAGAATCTTGCTCTCGAGCCATTTCCCAGCTATGGGCTCTAAAGCCGATCATCTCCACATGCTTTTCTTCCCTTTCATGGCTCAAGGCCACATGCTCCCTATGGTCGACATGGCCAAGATCTTCGCCGCTCATGGTGCTCGCGTCACCCTTCTCACTACTCCCGTTAACGCCACCATTATCCGTCCCAATATTGATGACTCAGTTCATCTCCACATCATCCCTTTTCCCTCTGCTGAATTCAGCCTTCCCGACGGGTGTGAGAATGTATCATTTATTCATTCTAATAACCAACACATTAACTTCATGAAAGCTACGTCTTCGCTCTGCCACCCTTTTGACTCTGTGCTTAGAGATCTCAGGCCCGACTGTGTCGTAACTGACATATACTTTCCATGGACAAACCATGTTGCAATCGCGAGAGGTATTTTGAGGCTTGTCTTTCATGGCACCAGCAACTTCGCATTTTGTGCGAAATGGGCTTTCGAGCAGTGTCGCCTGCTAAATGACAAGGTCGAGTCCTTTGTCCTGCCCAACCTCCCACATCGAATAGAGATGTTAAAAACACAAGTCCTGGACTGCAACAACTTAGCAAGAATGCAAACGGAGATCGTCATGAAGACAGCTAATGAGGCGAAAGAGGGGCAATCAAAGAGCTATGGCGCGTTGATGAATAGTTTCTATGAGCTTGAGTCTGAATATGTGGACCTTTATTGCAAGCTGAACGGAAGGGCATGGAATGTTGGCCCAGTTTCTCTATGCAACAAGGAGGTGATCAACAACTCAATAAGAGGTGGGGAGTATCCATCATCTGTTGATGAGTGCTTGAAATGGCTTGAAAAAAGAACCAAAGGTGTACACTTCTAATGCAAAGTTGAGGCCAATTGTGGAGGCTTCAGCAGTTACAACAGCTATTAGGAGGTTGATGGGGGATGGGATAGAGGCAGAGAAGAGAAGGAGGAGGGCAAAGGAACTTGGCGAGATGGCGAAAAGAGCTGTGGATAAGGGAGGGTCATCTTATGAGGAGATTGGAAATTTGATGCATGAACTAATGGAACGAAAGAAGCATGTGTAAGCATGTGAAGCTTAGCTCAAGGATTTTTTTTCCTTCTTTCAAATTAATGCCTGGTTAAATGTTCTCTCACGAAAGTTTTTAATTATCTTCTTATTTAAATGGTTTATCATTTTTTTTCTGCAAATTGTTGTGAGATTTAGTTTTACTCTGAAAAAATGAGTTTATTTATTTAATGAGTTCTAATTATTAATAAGTTGATGATCTTTGAAAAAAGTCTTTAATTTTAATTTCAATAAAAATCATTATACAATTCAAGCATGAGTAAAAAGAACCAGAAAGATAGTCAATTTTATTTTATGATGCTTTTTAAAAATTTTACACAAATTTTCAAGAATGGTTTAGGATTAGTTTAATTTAATTTTTTTTTTTTTAGTTTTTTTTCCTAAAATTTATTTGAAAAATAACATAACATATTTTACTTTTTATTTTCATTCTAAAAAATATATATTTTGTTGAAAAAGAACCCCAAATTTACTCTTAAATTTTTAAAATTATATATATTATTTATGCGCTCATCTATACTTCTCTTTGCCATTGAGCAGAACGCAGGAAGCAAAGACCTTTGCTATTGATGAGATTTTTGGAGTTACACCTTTCCACCCATTCTAAGTAGCTATGTAGTGGAGCAAATTGATTTGCTACTAAAAGAAAAAACTTGCATGGTTTCCCTTCCATAGCCATGAAGAGAAAGGCAATGACCATTATAGTTAGGATTGTTACATCGCGATCGGAAGATATAGAGAAGTGGTGTTTATGAGATATGGTGTTTGTGAAGGTTCATTGTTTACTGCCATCAATGTTTAGGCGTTTGATATATAAAATTTTAAGTACCAAGGTATATAATTAGAAGAATGTCCTATGATAGGGTGATTAATATAGGCCATTTGATGAAACACTCTAAATTTTTTATTATATTTATGAAACCTATCACTCTTAAAAGTATATAATTTGGCCTTCTCTTTACATTTTGGGTTAAGGAATGGATGTTTAAGAGAACTTAGAGACTCGAAGAATCACATAGCTCTAGCAGACCCTTGCTTGTCTTCCTCCGTCAAACCACCACCACACTAGTAGTCGACCTTCGCCATCAAACCATTACCAAACTTCCATCATTAGACAACTCTTGATGTTATGCCCCAAAATTTAATTTGAAAGAATTAATTTTTTTAATACTTTTTCATCTAAACCTCATATAATGAGCTCAAGAGTCCAACAAATATTAATCCCACAACTGAACTCAACGCAAGACAAATGAGCAATATGCATGTTAGTAGTCAAGACAGTAAAATATAAAATCCAATAAAGCAGTACGGTGGGAAAACCAATAAACCAATACGGGTGTCAAGATGATAAAGCAATCATCTTATTACTACATCAATCAATTAACAAATCGATCGTATAAAGCCGTAAAATTAAAACATTGGTAAATAACTATTGAACTCAGATCAATATAGTAAAATCATAATGAGTGTACACATAATATTCAGGTAGTCTATATCAGTATTAAATCAGTATCTTACATGCTCAGTATGTCACATGCTTAATATCTGTACAATAAAATAGTAATATCAAATAGTATCGATGTCCATATCGATAACACAAATAGACTAGTGGAAGGAGCAGTAAAATAATATAGTAACAGTAAATTCGTGCAATAATAATAAATTAATACAATAATAAGAACAATATTACTATAGCATGCATTTTAGTAGTCACAATAAACAAGTAAGAAATTCTAGCTATTACGATATTTTTTGGTAATTTGTATTCGATAGTCGTTAACTATTAGCTTACTAAACAGAGTCATTACTCTTTACCCGCCGTCTAACCTATTTTCCTCTAACTGTTGTCATCCAACTACACCGATTTCTGCTTACTTTGTAACCTACCATCACAAATAATGTCAAATAGACACTATTACTTATAAGATCGATGTACACCATCAATATTAACTATGACTCTTTACGTTAGCACCAAGATTTATATTGGACTCCTTAGTATTTGGTCTCCCCATAAAGAAATTTTCACCTATATTCGAGTTTTTTTAAACACTAATAAAATACTTTTTATGTCATTACATTCGTCTTATCAAAACTAATTTTGTTTAAAAGCTTGCTAGATAAAAAATTAAATGATCATAAAAATATTTAAAAATAATATTTGATAAAATGGATTTTAATATATATTTATATATAACTAATATTTTTTTATATCCATACATCATTTTAAATATAATTATCATAACAAGCATCTCACTGTCTCACATTATAAAACTCCATTTAAGTCATGCATACAACCAATTACAGCACACTTCGTGGTAGCCATGCATCATGTTCTTCCACTTTTGAGTTTTGTCTCTTAGTTTCAAATGCTATTTTATTAGGTCTTATCCATTTTAAATATATAAAATGATATGACAAGCTATATTTAAAATTATCCAAGTTATTTAATTTGATCTAAATTAAAGATATTTAAATATTTAATCACATTCTTCGAACCACCACCCTCAACCTCCATTATCAAACCATGATCATTGCTTGGTTTCTATTATCAAGCAACCGCTCGATAGTCTTCGTGAAACAAACACAAGAATATTAGTACAAAACAATTGTTGGACCCCCACAAATTGATTCTCATCCTCTGACCTTCTTCACTAGATTATGATCCTATGATTTCTATCAGTCAAGAAAAATCATCTTATAGTCATTATTGACTGTAGTCATTAAACTATAGTCGTCCAATTATGATTGTCTAACCTAAAGTCCTCTGACCGTTATCTCTTGGCCATAGCAATACCTGCTATAATTTTTAATGTACTATCACTAACAATGTCAATGTACACTAACACTTATAAGATCAATGTACATAATCAACACTAACTTTGACTCTTTGCTGTAGAGCCATGATTTAAGTTAGACGTCAATGCAATAATGTTACTAATAATAAATGATCTCGCATATCATATAATAATTTTTCAATCATCAAAATGCCTTAATAATAACAAAACTTGGCACACTAATTAAAGAACCAACAATTGTAAAATCTTGTATGCTTATTAGTCAAAATAAGGATCATGTCAAGATGAATCCAACAAGCTCAAAATCAACTAATTTTAACAGCATTAAGACTCTCAAATTTTAAAAGAATATCCTATGGCCGGGTGATTAATATTATCCACCCAATTAAGTACTTTGAATTTTTTGCTCTAAATTTTTAAAGATTGTCACTCTTAAAAATATATAAAGAGGTGGTTTCAAAATGATTAGCCCCTGACCTTCACTATTAGAACACTACTAAACCACCATCAGCAAACAATCGTTTGATTTCCATTATCGATGCACTGACCGATAGTCATCGTCAAACCACCACAGGAACACTATTATCAAACCATTGTTTGATCGCCACCAATTATTACGGTTCTTCGACCTTCATCACTAGACTATGACTTTCCGATCTCCATCATTCAAGAATACCATCGTTGCCAACTACAACCATTAGACTAATTATTTTATTTAGATCATGCACGCGGTTATGCCTTTTTCACATAAAAGTTCTATAGTGTGCGCTGGTTCTTTAAAAAATGCTAAGATAATACACTCGCAGTTTCTTGTTGAATCTTCATATTAAGAGCAAGTAATCAAACATAAAAAGGCTTATTATTGTGTTGTTAATGACTAAATGCATATTAAATATACTTTCTGGAATATTTCTTCAATAAATATTTAATATTTTTTTCATCACAAATTAAATATAAGAAATTTTAAACATTTTGTATTTACTTTTTATATATACCACTGATATATATATATATATATATAATTTAAAATTAATTAAGAATATCATATTTATCCTACATAAATAAAGAAATAAATAATGGAAATGAAAAAGCCCTAAATTACTGCTAGACTTTGTCCTTTTATTTCTCCATCAGTTGTAAAGTTCCGTTAGCAATCCGTTAGCAATGACGATAAATTCGTAAATGGAAGTAATTTGGTTATGGAATCACATTCATTACAATATGAGCCTCCCACCATCCAAGACCCCAATCTTGCTCAGCTATGGGGTCCAAAGCCGATCATCTCCATATGCTTTTCTTCCCTTTCATGTCTCAAGGCCACATGCTCCCTATGGTCGATATGGCCAAGATCTTCGCCGCTCGTGGGGCCCGCATCACCCTCCTCACTACTCCCATTAATGCCACCATTATCCGCCCCAATATTGATGACTCTGTTCATCTCCACATCATCGCTTTTCCTGTTGCCGAATTCGGCCTCCCCGACGGGTGCGAGAATGAATCCTTGATTCATTATGAAGACCAACATATAAAATCAGTATCTTATAAAATCCAACACAAGGCAAATGCGTAATATGCATGCTAGTAGTCAAAATAGTAACATATAAAATCCAGTAAAGCAGTACGGTGGGAAAACCAATAAACCAGTATGGGTGTCGAGTCGATAAACCAGTCATATTATTAGTGCATCTTCAATTAGGCAATAAATCAATCGTATAAAGCGGTAAAACTAAAGCATCAGTAAATAACTATCGATCTCAGATCGATGTAGTAAATTCATATATGAGTGTACACATAATATTCAAGTAGTTTATATCAGTATTAAATCAGTATCTTACATGCTCAGTATGTCACATGCTTAGTATCAGTACAATGAATCAGTAATATCAAGCAATATCGATGTCCTTAACAGTAACATTAATAGTCTAGTAGATGGAGCCATAAAATTATACAGTAACAGTAAATTCATGCAGTAATAATAAATTCGTACAATAATATGAACATATTACAATAACATGCATTTCAGAAGTCACAATAAACAAGTAAGATTTCTAGCTATCACAATATTTTGGGGTAATCAATAATTGATAGTCATTAACTATTGGCTTAATAAACAAAGTTATCACTTTTTACCTATCATTTGACCTATTGTCCTTTAACTATTATCATTCGGCTACACCGATGCTTGCTTACTTTGTAACCTACCATCACTTACAATGCCACTCCTCTGATCTCTATCAGTCAAGAATAATCATGTGATCATCATTATCGACTATAGTCTTTAAACTATAGTCATCCAATTATGATTGTCTGACCTAAAGTCCTCTGTCCATTATCTCTTGGCCATAGCAATGTCAATGTACACTATCGCTTATAAGAATGATGTAGATAATCAGCACTAACTTTGACTCTTTGCTGTAGAGCCACAATTTAAGTTAGACGTCAATGCACTAATATCTCTAATAATAAATGATCTCGCAAATCATATAATAAATTTTCAATCATAAAAATGCCTTAATAATAACAAAAACTTTGGCACACTAATTAAAGGACCAAATATTTGTCAAATCTTGTATGCTTATAGTCAAAGTAAGGATCATGTCAAGACGAGTCCAACAAGCTCAAAATCAACTAATTTTAACATCATTAAGACACTCAAATTTTAAAAGAATGTCCTATGATGGTGTGATTAATATTATCCGTCCCATTAAGTACTTCGAATTTTTGGCTCTATATTTATGAAGATTTCCACTCCTAAAAATATATAAAGAGGTGGTTTGAAGATGATTAGCCTCTGACCTTCACTATTAGAACACTATTAAACCACCATCACCAGACAATTGTCTGATATCCATTATTGATGCACTGACCAATACTAATTGTTAAACCTCCAGAGGAACATTGTTACCAAACCATTGTTTGATCGACACCAATTTATTATGGTTCTTCGACCTTCACTAGACTATGATATTTCGATCTCCATCACTCAAGAATACCATCGTTGCCAACTACATCCATTAGACTAATTATTTTATTTAGATCATGCACGCGATTATGCCCTTTTCTCATAAAAGTTCTATAGTGTGTGTTGGTTCTTTAAAAAATGCTAAGATAATACACTCGCAGTTTCTTGTTGAATCTTCATATTAAGAGCAAGTAATCAAACATAAAAAGGCTTATTATTGTGTTGTTAAGGACTAAATGAATATTAAATATACTTTCTGGAATATTTCTTCAATAAATATTTAATTTTTTTTCATCACAAATTAAATATAAGAAATTTTAAACATTTTGTATTTACTTTTTATATATACCACTGATATATATATATATATATATATATATATATAGCCGCTCGTGGTGCCCGCGTCACCCTCCTCACTACTCCCGTTAATGCCACCATTATCCGCCCCAATATTGATGACTCTGTTCATCTCCACATCATCGCTTTTCCTGTTGCCGAATTCGGCCTCCCCGACGGGTGCGAGAATGAATCCTTGATTCATTCTGAAGACCAACACATTAAGTTCTTGAAAGCTATGTCTTCGCTCTGCGACCCTTTTGACTCTGTGCTAAGAGATCTCAGTCCCGACTGTGTCATTACTGACGTATTCTTTCCATGGACATACCATGTTGCAATCGCGAGAGGTATTTGTAGGCTTGCCTTTCATGGCTACAGCAACTTTGCGGTCTGCGCCAGAAGTGCTTTCAAGAGGCGCAACCTACTAACGGACAATGTCGAGTCCTTTGTCCTGCCCGACCTCCCACATCGAATAGAGATGTTAAAAACACAAGTCCCAAACCACAACAACTTACCAATAACACGAAATGAGATCATCATGAAAACAATTAGGGAGGGGAAAGAGGTGGAATCCAAGAACTATGGCACATTGATGAATAGTTTCTATGAGCTTGAGTCTGAATATGCGGATCGTTATTGCAAGATGAAGGGAAGGGCATGGAATGTTGGCCCAGTTTATCTATGCAACAAGGAGGTGATCAACAAGTCAACAAGAGGTGGGGAATATTCATCATCTGTTGATGAGTGCTTGAAATGGCTTGAAAAAAGATCAGTAGGCTCGGTTGTGTACATCTGCTTTGGAAGTGGGGGCTTTTTGTCGGTAGAACAATTGAGAGAAATAGCACTTGGTCTCGAGGCATCAATGCATTCATTTGTTTGGGTGGTGCGAGATAAGGGCAATGATTGGATTCCAGAGGGTTATGAAGAAAGAATTAAAGACGTAGGGATGGTGATAAAAGGATGGGCCCCACAACTATTGATACTAAATCATGATGCGGTTGGAGGATTTGTGACTCATTGTGGGTGGAATTCTACTTTAGAAGGGATTAGTGCTGGGCTGTCGATGGTGACATGGCCATTATATGCAGATCAATTTTATAATGAAAAGTTTTTGGTAGATATATTGAAGGTTGGGATAATGGTGGGCTCAAAAGTGTACACTTCTAATGCAAAGATGAGGCCGATTGTGGAGGCTGCAGCAGTTACTGAAGCTGTTAGAATGTTGATGGGGGATGGAATAGAGGCTGAGGAGAGAAGGAGTAGGGCGAAGGAGCTTGGCAAGATGGCGAAAAGAGCTATGGATAAGGGAGGGTCATCTTATGAGGAGATTGGAAATTTGATGCATGAACTAATGGAACGAAAGAAGCTTGTGTAGAGCTTAGCTCTGATTTTTTTTTTTTTTTTTTTTCAAAATGAATGCCTAGTTATTTCATGCTTGAACTAATGGAACGAAAGAAGCATGTTAAATGTTTTCATCTCATTTGAAGTTTTAAATAATCATCTTATTTAAATGGTTCTCAAATATTTTTTTTAATGCAAATTTTTGGGAGATGTAGTTTTTTCTTTGAAGAAACGAGTTTATTTAATTAATGAGTTATAATTATTATTAAATTGGTGATCTTTGAAATAATTCTTTCTAATTTAAATAAAAATCATTATACAATTCAAGCTTGAGTTAAAAAATTAGAAAGATAGTCAATTTTATTATACCATACTTTTTTGAAAAAATTTACACAAAATTTTCAAGCCTCGTTTAGGCTTAGTTTAATTTAATTTTGTTTTATTTTTTCATAAAAATCATTTGAAAAATGACTTAACATATTTACTATTTATTTTTATTATATATATATATGATACGACATCACAAATTTATCTTGATCGGGCACGAATCTCAAGGCAAAAAGCTAGTTGGAAACTTTAAAGATTAAATTCAGGAGCATTTGAACTCCGATTTCAACGAGCTTATAATCAAACTGAGCGTCTCGGAAACACAAACCCAATGACACCAAATTCGACCCAATCCGAGCCTAAATGGGTCCGAATCAAAGACCCGAAGCACTGTTGGAAGGTTTGAATCACAATTTAAGTTACCAAACGGTCTTCGGTGTTAACGAGCTTATACTCGAATCGAACGGCTCGATGAGGCGAATCCAACAAGCCCAAGATCACCTAATTCCGACATCAGTAAGACCTTCAAATGACCAACGAACGGTACATGATCGTAGGATTCAATATCGGCCGCCGTCCATTCGACCACTCCCTATTCGCCCCTGATCTCACGACTATTTACGAGCTATGCCACTCCAAAAAAACTATAAATAGAGCCCTCATTCTTCACAAAGGGGACTCAAGTGAAGAGGGAGAAGAAGAAGGAAAGAAGAAGAGAAAGGGGAAAGGGAGAATCCTCTCCTCCTCGACCACTGCCGGAGCTCTTCCAGCCGCCTGAATACGCCGGAACTCTGCCGGATTTTCGGGAAACTATGGGATTTTGCAGAACTTTGTAACTTTATTAGAAGTTGATTTGTAAACTGATTGTCTCAACTTGTGAGATGAATCGGACTTTGTATTTCAAATAAATACTAGTGGAATTATTTCAACTGGGCGTGGCCCCGTGGTTTTTCCCTCTTCCGGGTTTTTCACTTAAAAATCCTGGTGTTTTTTTATCTTTTGTTTGTGTGTGCTAGATATTCATACAACGTTCAGACGAAAATTTTCTAACTCTATCGACGCACATATTCTAGTCAAAAAAGAACCCCCAACATAGGCCTTTAGATCATGGCATATTATTCACCAATTTGCAATGTCCATAATAAGATGACATGAGTAATGTCAAAATGTAATTGATTTATATGTTAGGGGTTTAGAGTAATGTTAAAATGTAATTGCAATTCCATAGAGGCTTCTTAAGGAAACTAATAGTCGATAGGAGTTCTTGGGATAGTTGAGATCTCTCTTGCTAGGAAGATGAGTCAATGAATGCTATGTGTAGGGGCAATGATGAACCCTAGATGTCGATGTCGATGAGATTTTTCGGGTTATGCCTTTCCACCCATTTTGAGTGGCTATAAAGTGGAGCAAAGTAGGGAAATAAAATGATTTGCTACTAAAAGAAAAAAATTGCATGGTTCCCCATCCAAAGCCATGACGAGAAAGGCAATGACCCTCGTAGCTAGGATCATTACATCGCGATCATAAGATATAGAAAAGTGGTGTTATGAAGTACGGTGTTGGTGAGGATCCATTGTTGACTGCCATCAATGATTAGGTGTTTGCTACTCTAAAGAAAATGACACCCTTTATAATAAAGGGCATTATTATCTATAAAGGTGGCTCTTTGGACAAACTAGGCTCGAAAGAACAACGATACCAAAAATAGCCATAACAGTATTGAAACTTTTATTCTAAAATAATTTTGGATTCAAATTTGTAGTATCTACATGGTCCTCGGAGTTTGCATTAAAGAGGATCAACATTACAAAGTATTGTAAAAAAAAATAAAATTAGCACACTAATGGAAAGATCAAACAATCTACAAATAATGTCTCTAATGGGAATTTTTTCATCAATGATTTAAAATATTTTTTTATGTCATTAGGTTTTTCTTTTCGAAAATTAAATTTTATTATAAATTTGTCAAAAAAATTTTAGATCGTCATACAAAATCTTTAAAAATTATGTTAAAATTTACTTTTGATAAAAGTGAATTTTAAAATATATTTATATATAATTTAAATATATTGTAAATCCATATGACATATTAAATATCGATATCTTATCAAATATCTATCTGTTTATGAAAAGCCATTCGAGTCAAGCCTACGATGAATTAAAAACACTGTAAGTCATTATGTTCTTCTTAAATTGAAATAATTTGGCTAAGGAATCTTTACTAATAATTGAGCACTCGCTCATCCACTATAAAATGAGCCTTCCAATCAATTCTAGAGTAAAATCAACCACATAACATAGTACCTTGCAAAATAGCCATATATTATCCAGCTATGTGCTCCGAAGCCAATCATCTCCACATGCTTTTCTTCCCTTTAATGGCGCAAGGCAACATGCTCCATATGGTCGACATGGCCAAGATCTTGGCTGCCCGTCATGCCTGCATCACCATTCTCACTACTCTCACTAATGCCATCATTATCCACCCCAATATCAATGACTCTCTTCATCTCCATATTATCCCTTTACCCACTGTCAAATTTGGCCTCCCCGATGGGTGCGAGAACAACATCTTCATCCTTTATGATGACCAACACGTCAACCTCATGAACGCTAACTATTTGCTTCATCTCCCTTTTGACTCCGTGCTTGCAAATCTCAGCCCCGACTGTGTCGTAACTAATTTATTCTTTCCATGGACATATGATGTTGCTGTCACGAGAGGTATTTTGCGGCTTGTCTTTCACGCCACTAGCAACTTCTTAGCCTGCATCATGAGTGCTTCACAGCAGTTCCGCCTACCAGCGGACATGGTTGAGTCCTTTGTCTGGCCCGGCCTCCCACATCGAATTGAGATGTTAAAAATTCAAATCATAGACTTCAACAAATTAGGAGGAATGCCAAAGGAGTTTATCATGGAGACACTTAAGGAGGTGGCGGAGGTGGATGTGAAGAACTATGGGATGTTGATGAATAGTTTCTTTGAGCTTGAGTCTGAATACACAGACCACCACCACGAGATGGTGGGAAGGGTGTGGAATTCGGCCCATTTTCTCTATGCAACAAGTACATGATAGACAAATCAACAAGAGGAGGGGAGTATGCAGCATTTGTTAATGAGTGCTGGAAATGGTTTGACAAAAGACCTACAAGCTGGGTCATGTACATGTGCTTTGGAAGTATGAGCCTTTTCTCGGTTGAGCAACTGAGTGAAATGGCGCTTGGGCTCGAGGCATCAAGACATCCATTTGTTTGGGTGATCTGGAATGAGGGCAATGATTGGATTCCAAAGGGCTATGAAGAGAGAATTAATGATGTAGGGATGTTGTAAGAGAATGGGCCCCACAACTAGTTATACTAAATCATGATGCAATTGGGGGATTTGTGACTCATTGTGGAGGAGATCAAAAATTTGATGAATGAATTAATTGATCAAAAGAAGTGGGAATTTGTTTTTTCTTATAAATTATTGTTAATTAGATTTCATATTATTAGATTTCGTTCATCAAATATTCGTTTTAATCATAAATGCAAAAGATTCAAAAATTATTTGGCCTCTCAAATAATTTCATAAAACTTTCACCTATATTTGTCTTTTCATGAACTAATTTTATTTTATAAACTTGCCGGATAAAAGTTTAGATGATCATTAAAATATTTAACAATTATATTTGATAAAACAGATTTTAATATATATTTATATACTATTTTTTATATTAAAAAAAATAGAAGTAGATCTAAAAAGATTTGATTAGAAAGTATCAAAAATAATTTTTTTAATTAAATTTAAAGGAGAATTTGACTCTTGATAGAATACGATGTAGACAGAAAATTTATGTAACTGACCCAACGTAATACAATAAAGACTTATTGTTGTCGTGGTTATTTACTAAAAGAATATTAAATATATTTTGAGAAATATTTCTTCAATAAATATTTTATATTCTTTTCATCAGAAATTAAAAATAAGAAATTTCAAAAAAAATTGTATTTATTTTTTATATATGCCACTGATAAATTAAAATTTATGATATAAAATTTAAAATAAATTTAGAATATCATATTCATTCTACATAAATAAATAAATAAATAAATAATGGAAATGAAATAGCCCTAAATAAATGCTAGACTTTGTCCTTTTATTCCTCCATCAGTTGTAAAGTTTCGTTAGCACTGACGATAACTTCATAAATTGAAAGAATTTGGTTATGGAATCACATTCACTACAAAATGAGCCTCCCTTCATCAAAGACCCATAAAATCTTGCTCTCGAGCCATTGCCCAGCTATGGGCTCTAAAGCCGATCATCTCCACATGCTTTTCTTCCCATTCATGGCTCAAGGCCACATGCTCCCTATGGTCGACATGGCCAAGATCTTCGCCGCCCGTGGTGCCCGCGTCACCCTTCTCACTACTCCCGTTAACGCCACCATTATCCGTCCCAATATTGATGACTCAGTTCATCTCCACATCATTCCTTTTCCCTCTACTGAATTCAACCTCCCTGACGGGTGTGAGAATGTATCATTTATTCATTCTGATAACCAACACATTAACTTCATGAAAACTACGTCTTCGCTCCGCCGCCCTTTTGACTCTGTGCTTAGAGATCTCAGGCCCGACTGTGTCGTAACTGACATATTCTTTCCATGGACAAACCATGTTGTAATCGCGAGAGGTATTTTGAGGCTTGTCTTTCATGGCACCGGCAACTTCACGGTTTGTGCGAAATGGGCTTTTAAGCAGTGCCGCCTGCTAACTGACAAGGTTGAGTCCTTTGTCCTGCCCAACCTCCCACATCAAATAGAGATGTTAAAAACACAAGTCATGGACTTCAACAACTTAGCAAGAATGGAAACAGAGATCCTCATGAAGACAGCTAATGAGGCGAAAGAGGTGCAATCAAAGAGCTATGGCACGTTGATGAATAGTTTCTATGAGCTTGAGTCTGAATATGTGGACCTTTATTGCAAGATGAAGGGAAGGGCATGGAATGTTGGCCCAGTTTCTCTATGCAACAAGGAGGTGATCAACAAGTCAATAAGAGGTGGGAAGTATGCAACATCTGTTAGTGAGTGCTTGAAATGGCTTGATAAAAGATCAGTAGGCTCAGTTGTGTACATTTGCTTTGGAAGTGGGAGCTCTTTCTCGATGGAACAATTGAGATATGAAGAGAGAATTAAAGACCATGGGATGCTGATAAAAGGATGGGCCCCACAACTAGTGATATTAAATCATAAAGCGGTTGGAGGATTTGTGACTCATTGTGGGTGGAATTCTAGTTTAGAAGGGATTAGTGCGGGGTTACCGATGGTGACATGGCCATTGTATGCAGATCAATTTTATAATGAAAAGTTTTTGGTAGATATATTGAAGGTTGGGGTGATGGTGGGCTCAAAGGTGTACACTTCTAACGCAAAGTTGAGGCCGATTGTGGAGGCTTCATCACTTACAGCAGCTATTAGGAGGTTGATGGGGGATGGGATAGATGCAGAGAAGAGAAGGAGGCGGGCAAAGGAACTTGGTGAGATGGCGAAAAGAGCTGTGGATAAGGGAGGGTCATCTTATGAGGAGATTGAAAATTTGATGCATGAACTAATGGAACGAAAGAAGCATGTGTAAGCATGTGAAGCTTAGCTCAAGGATTTTTTTCCTTCTTTCAAATTAATGCCTGGTTAAATGTTCTCTCACGGAAGTTTTTAATTATCTTCTTATTTAAATGGTTTATCATTTTTTTTTTCTGCAAATTGTTGTGAGATGTAGTTTTACTCTGAAATGATGAGTTTATTTATTTAACGAGTTCTAATTATTATTAAGTTGATGATCTTTGAAATAAGTCTTTAATTTTAATTTCAATAAAAATCATTATACAATTCAAGCATGAGTAAAAAGAACCAGAAAATTTAAACGCCTAAATTTATCAATGTTTAGGCGTTTGCTACTCTAGAGAAAATTATTATATGATCTACGAGTTTGCTAAAGATGGCGAACTTTAATGAGTTTACAAAAGATGAGGATCACCTTTTCCAAAGTTTCATAATAAAAAAACTTTAGCACACTAATCTCGTATACTCGTATTCAAATCACGTGTCATGTTGAGATGAATCCAATAAGCCCAAAATAATCTAATTTAAATATAATTTATACCCTCAAATTTAGAAGAATGTCCTATGACAAGGTGATTAATATAGGCCATTAGATGGAATACTCTGAATTTTTTACTATATTTATGAAGCATGTCACTCTGAAAAATATATAAATTGGCCTTCGCTTTACATTTTGGGTGGTGGGGGTAGCGGTGGAGGTTTAAGAGAACTTAGAATTTTTTAACAATTCATAACTGTAACTCTTTTTACGTTAGCACCAAGATTTATATTAGACTCTTTGGCCTCCCCTTAAAGAAATTTTCACCTATATTCAATTCTGTTTGAACTCTAATAAAATACTTTTTATGTAATTACATTCATCTTATCAAAAACTAATTTTTTTTATAAACTTGCTAGATAAAAATTTAGATGATCATAAAAATATTTAAAAATATTTTTGATAAAATGGATTTTAATATTTGGTTATATTTTTTTACATCCATACATCTTTTTAAATATCAACATAACAAGCATCTCACTGTCTCACATTATAAAACACCATTTAAGTCATGCATACAACCAATTACAGCACACTACGTGGAATCCATCATTTTCTTCCACTTTTGTCTCTTATATATCAATTTTATAAATATAAAATGATATGACAACATATATTTTAAAATTAAATATATTTAAATATTTAACCGCCTCCATTGAACCATCACCCTCGACATCCAGTATCAAACCACGGTCATTAAACAACTGCTTGATCTCTATTATCAAGCAACCACTCGATAGACTTCGTCAAACCAACACAGGAATATTAGTACCAAACCACTATTGGACCGCTACCAATTGATTATTGTCCTCTGACCTTCTTAGCTAGATTATGATCCTCTGATCTGTATTAGGTAAGAATAATCATTTGATCATCATTATTGACTGTAGTCATTAAACTATATTCGTCCAATTATAATTGTTTGACCTAAAGTCCTCTAACCGTTATCTCTTGGCCATAGCAATGCCTGCTATAATTTTTAATATACTATCGCTAACAATGTCAATGTACACTATCACTTATAAGATCGATGTACATAATCAACCCAAACTTTGACTCTTTGCTTTAGAGCCAGGATTTAAGTTAGACGTCAATGCAATAGCATCACCAATAATAATTGATCTCGCATATCATATAATAATTTTTCAATCATCAAAATGCCTTAATAATAACAAAAACTTTGGCAAACTAATTGAAGGACCAACAATTGTAAACTCTTATGTGCTTATTAGTCAAAATAAGGATCATGTCAAGACGAGTCCAACAAGCTCAAAATCAACTAATTTTAACATCATCAATACCCTCAAATTTTAAAAGAATATCCAATGACGGGTGATTAATATTATCCACCCAATTAAGTACTTTGAATTTTTTGCTCTAAATTTTTTAAGATGATTAGCCGGAAAAGTGGTCGCCGGACAGCCGCCGGAAATTAGTGATTTTCCTGTAGTGACCCTGACCTTCACCATTATATCACTACTAAACCACCATCACTAGACAATTGTCTGATATCCATTATCGATGCACTGGTCTATAGTCATCGCTAAACCACCACAGGAACACTGTTACCAAACCATTGTTTGATCTCCACCAATTTATTATGGTTATTCGACCTTCATTACTAGACTATGATTTTTCGATCTCCATCACTCAAGAATATCTTCGTTGCCGACTACAGCAATTAGACTAATTAGACTAATTATTTCAATTAGATCATGCATGAGTTTATGCCCTTTTCTAGGTTTTGCACATAAAAGATCCATGCTGTATGCTGGATCCTTAAACAATGCTAAGATAATAAACTCTAAGTTTATTGTTTGATCTTCATATTAAGAGCAAGCAATCAAACATAAAAAGACTACGCCATAACTTAGATTGAAAAATAAACATTTATTAAAACTAAATAAACATTTCAGCCTTGTAATATTATAAATACTTATTGTTGTCGTTGTTATTGAATAATTTAATATTAAATATACTTTCTGAAATATTTCTTAAATAAATATTATTTATTCTTTTCATCATAAATTAAATATAAGAAATTTCAAAATTTTGTATTTATTTTTTACATATATCGCAGATAAATTAAAATTTATAATATAAAATCTTAAATAAATTTAGGCTATCATATTCATCCTACATAAATAATTAAATAAATAATGGAAAAGAAATAGCCCAAAATTAATGCTAGACTTTGTCCTTTTATTCCTCCATCAGTTGCATAGTCCCGTTAGCAATGGCGATATCTTTGTAAATTGAAGTAATTTGGTTATGGAATCACATTCGCTACAAAATGGTTATGGAATCACAGGCCCACAAAACCTTGCTCTCGAGCCATTGCCCAACTATGGGTTCTAAAGCAGATCGTCTCCACATGCTTTTCTTCCCTTTCATGTCTCAAGGCCACATGCTCCCTATGGTCGATATGGCCAAGATCTTTGCCGCTCGTGGTGCCCGCGTCACCCTCCTCACTACTCATGTTAATGCCAACATTATCCGCCACAATATTGATGACTCTTTCCATCTCTACATCATGGCTTTTCCCTCTGCCGAATTTGGTCTCCCTGACGGGTGCGAGAATGAATCCTTGATTCATTCTGACGACCAACACATTAACTTCATTAAAGCTACGTTAGCACTCCGCCAACCTTTTGACTCTGTGCTTAGAAGTCTTAGGCCTGACTGTGTCGTAACTGACATATTCTTGCCATGGACATACCATGTTGCTATCGCAAGAGGTATTTTGACGCTTGTCTTTCATGGCACCAGCAACTTCGCGGTTAGTGCCAATAAGGCTTTCGAGCGGTGTCACTTACAAATGGACAAGGTCGAGTCTTTTATCTTGCCCGACCTCCCACATCCAATAGAAATGTTAAAAACACAAGTCGTGGACTTGAACAACTTAGCAAGAAATCAAACAGATATCATCGATAAGACATTTAATGAGGCCAAAGAGGTGTTATCGAAGAGCTATGGCACATTGATGAATAGTTTCTATGAGCTTGAGTCTGAATATGTGGACCATTACCGCAAGATGAAGGGAAAGGCTTGGAATGTTGGCCCAGTTTCTCTATGCAACAAGGAGGTGATCAAAAAGTCAACAAGAGGTGGGAAGTATCCAACATCTGTTAACGAGTGCTTGAAATGGCTTGACAAAAGATCTGTAGGCACGGTCGTGTACATATGCTTTGGAAGTGGTAGTTTTTTCTCTGTGGAACAATTGAGAGAAATAGCACTTGGGCTCGAGGCATCAATGCATTCATTTGTTTGGGTGGTGCAAAATAAGGGCAATGATTGGATTCCAAAGGGATATGAAGAAAGAATTAAAGACCTTGGGATGGTAATAAAAGGATGGGCCCCACAACTATTGATCCTAAATCATGATGCGGTTGGAGGATTTGTGACTCATTGTGGGTGGAATTCTTGTTTAGAAGGGATCAGTGCAGGGTTGCCCATGGTAACATGGCCATTGTTTGCAGATCAATTTTATAATGAAAAGCTTTTGGTAGATATATTGAAGGTTGGGATAATGGTGGGCTCAAAAGTGTATACTTCCAATGCAAAGATGAGGCCGATTGTGGAGGCTGCAGCACTTACAACAGCTATTAGGAGGTTGATGGGGGATGGGATAGAGGGTGAGAAGAGAAGGAGGAGGGCAAAGGAGCTTGGCGAGATGGCGAAAAGAGCTGTGGATAAGGGAGGGTCATCTTATGAGGAGATTAGAAATTTGATGCATGAACTAATTGAACGAAAGAAACATGTGTAGAGCTTAGCTCAGGTTTTTTTTGAAATGGTTATATATCAATAAGATGTTAAATGTTTTCATCTCATTTGAAGTTTTAATTAATCATCTTATTGAAATCCCTTTTTTCAGGGGTTTTCCACGTAAAAACTTTGGTGTCTCTTATGAACGCTACACCCTCTCACTTATCTGATTGTGTGCTGGATCTTCGTACAACGCTAAGACGTTAAACTATATATTTCTCTACCGCCGCGAATATTCCAGGACGCAACAATATATATATTGGAAAATTGTTGGGTGAGGTAGTTTTACTCTGAAGAGATGAGTTTATTTAATTAATAAGTTATAATAATTATTAAAATGGTGATATTTGAATTTAGCCTTTCTAATTGAAATAAAAATCATTATACAATTCAAGCTTGAATAAAACAACCAGTAATAATTATTAAAATGGTTCTCATTTGTTTTACTCTGAAGATATTTATTTAATTAATAAGTTCTAATAATTATTAAAATGGTGATCTTTGAATTTGGCCTTTCTAATTGAAATAAAAATCATTATACAATTCAAGCTTGAATAAAACAAAATTTTATTTTATCATACTTTATGAAAAAATTTACACAAAATTTTCAAGCTTGATTTAAGATTTGTTTAATTTATTTTTTTCCTAAAATTTATTTGAAAAATAACTCATCTATACTTCTCGATCTTGCTCGTCGAGAGAAGGCTAGGGCACCAATGTTGATCAAATAAGGATTGTGGAGGCAAGGATAGGGGCTGCAAACGAATCGAGGCGAGCCAAGTTTCAGTCTGTTTAAATTCAAGCTTGTTTGTCAAAACGGTGCTCATGCTCAGCTCGTCGTGCTTCTTGGACATGGGTTTGAGCTCGAGCTCGTTTAAAATGCCAGTGTTTGTGTTTAGAATTCATCTCGTTTAATTGTTTAGCTTATTGAGGAGCTGAGCAAAATAATTCTCTTCCAACCGATGTGGGACAAAACCCCTACATTTTTTTTTTTGAGTGTTGCCACGGAGGAGAGATAGAGAGAGAGAGGGGAGAGAGGTAGAGGAGGAAAAATTATTAGGTGCAGAGTGCGCACCGTCCGCACAAGTACTGGGTCCCTAGCGGTACCCAGTGATACCGAGTGGTACCTAGCTAGGTACCCAATACTTGTGCGGACGGTTCTCTCCGTCTGCACTCCGCACCTAATAACCTCTCGTAGGGGAGAGTTTCAAAAATACAAAATAGAGAGCGAGGGAGAAGGTGGGCTGGTCTGAGCGGTAATTGAGGCAAATTATATGATATTTTAAAGCTAATTTTTTTTTTATTTGTGCGGGAATTGAGGGAGAGGAAATTTTTAATACAATATTTAATAAAATATTTTTAATAGTTATATTAATAAAAAAAAAATGTCTAATAAAATTGGTTAAAGTTGAAATTATTAAATTAGTAAAAATAAATTATTAAATTAGTAGGCTTAATAATATTTATTTTTAAAATTTCAATTGAGCTCTAATTGAGCTCTAATTGAGCTTCTTAGTCGAGCTCTAGTCAAGCTTTTTTAGCGAGCTTGTTCACGAACTTAAACAATATTATTCTTGAACGTAAATGAACCAAATGACAAGCTGTTCAAGCTTGTTTATTTAGCTATCGAGTATTTATCAAAAGTGTTCAAACTCATTTGTTTACCTTATCAAACGAACATAAACGAGCTCTTATCAAGACGAGCCACGATAGTCCGTCGAACGCTTAGTTCATTTGGAGCCCTAGGCAAGAGTTTTCTTGTGCCAAAAAAGATGATAGCACATAACAATATTATGATATATCTTGCCTGAGATATGAGGACTACAATTTAAAATGTTTTTATGCAAAAAATTTATATTTTTTCATCTCAGATTAAATATTAGAAATTTCATTTTTTTGTATTTATTATATATGTACACCCCTAATAAATTAAATTTTGTAATATATTATTTAAATAGAAAATTTAAACCATCATATTCATCCAAAATAAATAAATAAATAATTCCACCGCCTCAGCCCTAAAATAATGCTTAACTTTGTCTTTTTTATTCCTCATTAGTTTTGTTTTGTAGAAGCTCGCCAACCTTAGGTCAGCAGTGACGATAGCTTCATAAATTGAAGTAATTTAACACTTTCTTATCCACTATAAAAAGAGCCTCCCACTCCATTCCAACCATCATCCAGCTATGGGCTCTGAAGCCACTCATCTTCACATGCTTTTTTTCCCTTTCATGGCGCAGGGCCACATGCTCCCTATGGTGGACATGGCCAAGATCTTTGCAACCCGAGGTGCCCGCGTCACCATCCTCACAACTCCCGTTAATGCCACCATCATCCGCCCCAACATCGATGACTCCGTTCATCTCCACATCATCCCTTTTCCCTCTGCCGAATTCGGCCTCCCCGATGGGTGCGAGAACCGCTCCTTCACTCTTCCTGATGACCAACACATAAACTTTTTCAAAGCTACCTCTTCGCTTCGCAGCCCTTTTGACTCTGTGCTTAGAGATCTCACTCCCGACTGTGTCGTAACTGACATGTTCTTGCCATGGACATACCATGTTGCCAGTGCCAGAGGTATTATGCGGCTTGTCTTTCACGGCACAAATAACTTCGCACTCTGCGCTATGAGTGCTTTCGAGCAGTGCCGCCTACTAGCGGACAAGGATGAGTCCTTTGTTCTGCCAGGTCTCCCACATCAAATAAAGATGTTAAAAACCCAAGTCATGGACTTTAACAAATTAGCAGGAACACCATTAGAGTTCATCTTGGAGACACTTAATGAGGCAGCGGAGGTGGAATCAAAGAGCTATGGCACATTGATGAATAGTTTTTATGAGCTAGAAACTGAATATGCTGACCACTACCGCAAGACAATAGGAAGGGCATGGAATGTCGGCCCAGTTTCTCTATGCAACAATGAGGTGACCAACAAGTCAACAAGAGGTGGGGAGTATCCAGCTTCTGTTTACGAGTGCTTGAAATGGCTTGACAAAAGACCAACAGGCTCGGTGGTGTACATGTGCTTTGGAAGTGGAAGCCTTTTCTCGGTTGAGCAACTGAGAGAAATGGCGCTTGGGCTTGAGGCATCAAGACATCCATTTGTTTGGGTCGTGCGGAATGAGGATGAAGATTGGATTCCAAAGGGGTATAGAGAAAGAATCAAAGAGGTAGGGATGATGATAAAAGGATGGGCTCCACAACTAGTGATACTAAATCATGATGCGGTTGGGGGATTTGTAACTCATTGTGGGTGGAATTCTAGTTTAGAAGGGATTAGTGCGGGGTTGCCGATGGTAACATGGCCATTGTCTGCGGATCAGTTTTATAATGAAAAGCTTTTGGTAGATATATTGAAGGTTGGGGTAATGGTGGGCTCAATGGTGAACACTTTTAATATAGAGACAAGGCCAATTGTGGAGGCTGCATCAGTGGAGATAGCTGTTAGAAGGGTGATGGAGGATGGGATGGAGGCAAATGAGAGGCGGAGGAGGGCAAAACAGCTTGGGGAGATGGCCCAAAAAGCTGTGGATGAGGGAGGGTCATCTTACGAGGAGATAAAAAAATTGATGAATGAATTAGTGGATCTAAAGAAGCATGTGTAGCTTAGCTTAGAAATTTTATTTCTTATTCTAAAAATAATGCCTAGTTAAATTTTTTTGTTTGTGTTGCTTCAATTTCAATTACGATATTATTGAGAAGCTTTAATTTATTTTTCTTTTTTTAATAATGAGAAATTAAACTGAATATACTTAGTGACTAAAAAAAGAGCATAACTAGTGAAAATAAATAAGACTACATGATTGTCATAAAAAATTGCCTAGATTGTGCACGAATCTCTAGGCATATTCAAATTGAAAACCTCCAAAATTAAATCAGTTCCATTTGAACTCCAACTTCAATAAACTTATAGCCCAACCGAATGTTACGAATCCAAGTAAACAAAATCGGTCCATTATGAGCCAAATTGATTCAAATCGAGGGCCCGAAGTTTATTTGGAAGGTTCAATGCCTAAATTGGATGACCAAAATCCAAATATAACATGCTTATAATCGAATCAAGCAGCTTGTTGAGACGAATCCAATGAACCTAAGATCACCTAATTCTGACAGCATATTGGAAAATACATGCCTGAAAAATGTTCTAAAATCAAGGCGATCAATTTGGGCCATCCGATGGAGCACTCCAAATCTGCTATAGATATTCTTCATATTTACGGCGCATGCTACTATCAAAAATCTATAAAAATACCATCACTCTCTACATGAAAAGGAGACCTTTTACTACAAATTGGAGAGAGCTTTGTGGCATCAAGTGCTCCAACACCTTTGTTGGCGAACCCCCATCAACCGTTGTCGAACCACCGCCTTGCCACCAACTGTCGTCAGACTTTCACTCACCTCTAACCACCACCAAAAATCTACCCGACCATTGTTGGACCACCGTCGGGCCACCGATTGATGTCGGACTACCACTTGGTTGTCGACCGCTGCAAAACTTCCACTAGGTCACTAACGACTGCCAAACATTCACTCGGACGCCGACCTTCACCAGACTTCCACCCGACGACTGACTGCCGCCAGAATTTAGCCCGACCATCATCGAACCACCACCCAATCTTCTTCAACTGGACAACCGCCGATCACAACTGGAGTTCCGCCCGACCATCGTTGGACCACTGCCCTGCAATAGACAACAATCCCTTAGACAATTATCACTCGCCATTATGGTCCCCCCGACCTCCTTCGACTATCGAATACTACACATCTCACCTATGTCGCCTGCCAACTCTAATCCTTCCAACCTCCGTCGCCCACCGACTACTTTTCCTCCGACCACCATCTCCTACTAACTACAGTCCATTCAACTTCAAATTCACGTCAACTATTATCCCTCAGACCCCCGTCACCCGCCGACTACGATCCCTTTGACCTCCATTTCTCACTAATACGGTCACTCCGACCTCCTTCACCTACTGAATATCATTTCTCTGACCAGCATTTCCTACTAAATATGGCCCCTCTGACCTCCGTCGTCCACCAAATACATTCCCTCCAACTTCTGTTGCACAATAACAATTATCCCTCTGACCTTTGTTGCCCGTTGGCTACGATCCATTTGACCTCCATCTACCGCCAACTATGGTTCTCCCGACCTCCGTTGCCTTCTAACTATTATCCCTCCTACCTTTGTCACCCACTGAATATTGTCTCTCCGACCACTATTTCCAGTTGTCTTAGATTCCTCCGAACTCCGCCGTCCAACGACTATGGTCCCTCGGACTATCAATGCCAATTTACTACGAACCATTCAACCTCAGTCGCCCGTCGGCTACGATTCCTTTGACCATTGTTTCCCACTTATTATCATCCCTCTAACCTTCATCGCCCACTTACTACGATCCCCCAGACCACTATTGTCCGTTGACTATGGTCCCTCTTACCTTCATTGCCTGATGACTATGGTCCCTCTAACCACTACCACCAGCAGATTATGGTCCCTTCAACCTCCGTCACCCACCAACTACAGTCCCACCGACATCCATCACCTGCCAACTACGACCTCTCTAACCACCGTCTCTCTCTTACTATGATTTCTCTGACCACCGTGACACACCGACTAAGGTCCCTCTAGCCTCCATCGTTGGCCCACTATGGTCTATACAACTATCGTCGACCACCAACTAATATTCATCCAACCACCATCTCCCAACGATTATGGTTCCTTTTACCTCCACCACTTAGTGGTAATGGCCACTCCAACTTCCATCGCTCGTCGACTAAGATCCCTTCAACCTCCATCGTCCTACAAACTAAATGAACGGGCCAACTTTTTCTGTAGAATTACTCCCTTATCATTTGATTCATCAAACCCAAACTATGTAATGTGCTCTATATTATACAAAGAGCCAAAACATTTCCCCTCAGGAAGGACACCATTTGTAATCGCCTAAAAACACTTATGGAATCATTTCAACGAGGAAAGGCCCTGTGATTTTTTCCCTTTTTAGGGTTTTTCACATAAAAATATTGTTGTCACTTATAACTCTCGCACCCTTCTCTCTTATATTTTTGTATGCTGGATTTTTGCATAAATCTTGGATGTTAAAATCTATATCTTTCTACCGTCATGAATGTTACAATCCGCAACGCTATTAATCATAATTACAATTGAATATTCTCTAGCAATATATTTTTTATGTAAAATATTGAGAGATGTTGTTTCACTCTTAAAAGATTATTGATTTAGTTAATAAGATCGAATCATGATTAAATTGATGGTTTATGAATCAAGTCTTTCTAAATTCAAGAAAAGAAAGAGCAATTTGCCTTTTCTATACAACCCCCTCCCCCCCAATGAAATATCACCAAAATATTTGCCGACCATACATGTATTTCGAGGCAACATTTTAAATGAACAGTGACATAATTAATTTTAAAACTACTTGAACACATTCTAGCAAACTTATAATTTCATTGAATTTTTTGATAAGACAAATTGAATTATTGGGGCTTGAACATTCAGAGTAGTAGAGAAATATGAAGTTATAGTGTCTTAGTTTTGTACAAAGATTTAGCACACATATAGATAAAAGAGAGGGGTACAATAATCATAACGGAGTCCAAAATTTTTACATAGAAAATCCCAAGAAGGGGGAAAACCATGACACCTTGCTCAATTGAAATGAATCTAATAGCACTTGTCATTTTTTTATTTTTTTTTCACTAGTACTTGTCATTGATTGCAAATGATGTCATTCTTTAGGATAAGGTATTATCTAAATATAACAAATATACACAGTATAGAATATAGTACATAGTTGGAATTGGAAGAATTTAATGGCATGAGAGCTGCTTAGCTCTCGACATGATGTTAGCATGTTCATTTGGTCGATAAGATCATAATCGGGTGACAGAGGTTGGAGGGGCCATTGTTGGGCAATTAAGTTTGGAGGGACTATTTTCAAGCTATATAGGTCAGAGAAACTATAGTCGATAGGTTATGGATGTCGGGAGGGCCATAGTTATGTAACAGTGGTGGAAGGGACCAAATTCAATGGTCGATAAAGATCGGAAAGACCTTAGTTAGACGCAGTGGTCGGTCTGACTATAGTTGATAGTCTGGTGACGTTGGTCAGAGTGATCATTGTTAGCGAGCGATAGAGGTCAAAAGATCATAGTTAAGTGATGGTTGTAAGAGGATCCGTAGTCGGGCGACAATTATCTGAATAATCGTAGTAGGGTGACGGTGGTCGGAATGACCATAGTATGCGAGCGACGAAGGCTAGAAGGATCATAATCTTGAGAGGGTTCTTAGAGGGACCATAGTTTATCGAATATGGACATCAAAAGGACTTATCAAGAAATGATTGTCAAAGGGACTATAGTCAACGGGTGACAGTGATTGAATGGATAGTAGTCGGACGTACTCAGCAAATGAAGGAGGTCAAATAGATTGTAGTTGGGCGAAAGTGTTCGAAGGGACAGTAGTCAACGGATGAGGGAGGTCAGTGGGATCGTAGTCGGCGTGCGACGATGATGGCTGGACGATGGTCCGACGATGATGGTAGGGCGGGTGTTCAATAATGGTGGTCGAGCGATGAGGGTTCTGTGGACCTCCGAAGGAGCACCGCTCGCGGGGGTTCGAATGCAGAGGGTACGGCCGCACTATCCCGTAGGACAAAACGATCGTAGGCCTCTACGCTCGACACGAACGGGTCGATGGGAGGGCAGATTGGTCGAGGTCAACAGGTTCATCGATAGTGGTGCTGAGGTGGAGCTCTGGGATATACAAGCCTTATAACTCTCTTGATCTCTAAACCAAGATCCAAGCTTCTAAAAATTTCAGATGATGATAGTAAGGCGGGTGTTCAATAATGGTGGTCGGCAATGACGGTTCACCGATAGTGGTGCTGAGGTGGAGCTCTAGGATATACAAGCCTTATAGCTCTCTTGATATCTAAACCAAGATTCTAAGAGCGGCATGCCCCGTAAAAGTCAAAAAAAATCTTGAGTGCTTTATCAGATAATCCTTGTTGATCCTTCTGATAATAGAACATTCATTTTGCATTTAAGTAACGTGAATGTCAGAATTGATAAATCTTAGGCTCATTGGATTTTCCTCGTTGATCAGCTTGATTCAACTGTAAGAATGTCATATTTGGATATTACGAGGTCATCCAATTAATACTTTGAAGCTTCCAAATATGCTTTGGTCCTTTGATTTTGACCCATTTGTACTCAAATTAGACCGATTTTGATGTCGTTGGGTTCATGTTACTTAGAAGCTCAATTTGAATATGAGTTTGCTAAAGTTAGAGTTCATATGATCCCAACTTTAATTTTTAAAAGTTTTCAATTCAAATTTACATCAAGATTCATGCATGACCAAAGAGAATTTTTTTTAACTTATCATGAATATTATTAAAAGTGGCAAGATTCATGTCCAATTTAGCTCAAATTAAGTTTAGAAAATTTAGTATATTAATTGAAGGATTAATTTATCTTTTGGAATCTACATTTTCTAATTAATAATAAGAGATCTTTATTTTTTTAAATTCTACATTTTCTTTGATTTTCTAAATTTAAGTATTAGCCTAAATTAGAAAGCCAGAATTTAAATTGATTATTAGAACATTTCATCCCTTCTCTATCATTCATTCGTTTAGATTCTAAAAGACCACAAAATTTTCTGTTATTCCCTTTCGTTCATTTTGTTTGTTTTTCTATATTTAAACCACCAACTTTTATCAATGACTATAAATCAACATTTTCTTTGATTTTCTATATTTAAGTATTAGCTTAAATTAGAAAGGTAGAATTTAAAATGATGGTTAGAATATTTCTTCTCTTAAAACTACCTCCTCAACGGCTACCTCCACCTCCCTTTCTCCCTTCTTTTTCTCTCATCCATCTGTTCTTTGGCCTGCTAATATCTATTCAGATTCCCTTTGTATATTTAAGCTCTTCGCATTGGTGGCATTTGTCTCTCGTCAAGTTTGGGTCATTTTTGCAACTTAAGGATGGAATGTTTGGTTGATGGAAGCTTTGTGTCACAAAGCTCAAATCAGTATGGTAATGCAAAGCCAATTTCCAATGCAGGGCCGAATCGAGATAATCTTCAGAGAGACGTTGAATTAAATAAAGTGATCTTATTCTTCTTTATCTTTATTCTTTGCTTATCTGTTTGTTCATGATCTAATGCGCCTTCTGATTTGGCCTTCTTGATGAAGTTCTTGGCCAAGGCTGGGGTTTATGGAAGCAAGGAAGAAGAAATGAGAAGAGAGGAAGTTCCAAGACAGTTGGATCAAGTAATTTTTTCTACTTTATATTTTATGTTCTTATTCTATCTTAATAAGCGTCCATCAAATCTAAATAAAACTGATTAATATAAAGATTACTAATGATGGAATTTATGATAAAATTAATATGCAGTTGTTAATTTATATTCATATTTCTAATTAAATAAATGTAAACTTTCTTTATTTTTATAACCATCTTGTTTGTTAGTCATCTAATTAGATATTTACTATCTTTATCAATATTTCCTTCAGATTGTTAAAAATTGGGTGAAGCAATTAACAGATCAACGAGGATACAATAATCAAATGGTTGAACAAGCAAATGCCATCATTTTTACAATTGGTTCTCAGCGATTAGGGGTGAGAAAATCTTCTCACATAATTCTAATTTCTAATTTATTTTTAGAATTCCCTCAAAGAGCGTGGTATCTATATTATCTAAACATGAAATGTCGACATGAAGATTAGGGGTGTCAATATTTGACATGACACGAAAACCCGTTTGAAAAACGGGTCGGGTTCGGGTTCGTAAATGCGGGCAAGGCGGGGCTAGGCGGGAATTTAATTTTTTTTTTTTTTAAGGGTTTTCGGGTTGACCCAGCAATCCGCCGGGTCAACCCGACCCATTTTGTCAAACGGGTCGAATCTGTGAACCCGAACCCGACCCATTTTTCAAACGGGTCGGGTTTTCGTGTCATGTCAAATATTGACACCCCTATGTATATGCATGATTTGGTTTAAAAAAAAAAATTCAATATAATTGAATGTCTATTAATTGTTGGTGAAACAGGTTAATGGACCTGGAGCTGATATTGACACATTATGTGTTGGCCCTTCATATGTCAATAGAGAGGTTAATAATTGCTCATGTGATTGAGATTTTATACCTAGATAGCTTGTCTAGGTGAACTTGGTATAACTAGCTATTTGACGCGTGCAGGAGGACTTTTTCGTCATTTTACATGACATTCTGGCCAAAAGAGAAGAAGTCAGTGAGCTACAAGCTATTCCGAAAGCTCATGTTCCAGTTATGAAATTTAAGTTTAATGGGATATCTGTTGACCTTCTATATGCAAGTATATCAGTACTTATAGTTCCAGAAGTAAGTCTTTGTAGATTTTGTTTTGTCATTCATGTAGATATTATAATGTTCATGAGCTTAGCTTATGAGAATCTTTTTCCTTTTTTTGGCAACCTTTCCATGAAATTATCAACTCTTTACTCTCTTAATATTTCCATGTAGGATTTGGATATATCCAACGTCTCGATGTCGTTATATAATGTTGATGGATGTACTGTTCGAAGCCTTAATGCTTGTAGGGATGCTGATCAGATACTTGAACTTGTTCCTAATGTTGAGGTCAATACAGTGATTCTTATTTCTTATCTTGCTTTATTTCCTTGGGTTATATATAAAATTAAACTGATTGATTTTACATATGTTTTTGATCTTTTAGAATTTTCGAATAACTCTAAGATGCATAAAGCTTTGGGCTAAGACTCGCTGTGTATACTCAAATGTAAGTCTTGTTAGCACTGGTTTTTATTATTATTTTACCATAATGTGCTAAACATTACACCATTGTTTACCTCTATCATGCTAGGTTATCGGATTTCTTGGGGGTATTAGCTGGGCTTTACTTGTAGCTCATGTCTGCCAATTGTTTCCAAATGCTTCACCTAGTATGTTAGTCACTCATTTCTTCAAAGTCTATTCACAATGGCGTTGGCCAAATCCTGTCATGTTGTGTTCAATAGTGGATGATAAACTAGGCTTTCTTGTTTGGAATCCATGCAAGAATCAAAATGATAGAACTCATCAAATGCCAATCATTACACCAGCATATCCAAGCGTGAATTCTAGTTATAATGTATCAAAAAGTACCCTCAGAGTTATGAATGAGCAGTTCCAGTTTGGCAACAAAATTTGTGAGGTAATCATGTCTCTAAACTATATGATTTTTTTTTTCAGAAGTCTATCTTTCTAACTTTATTCACTACTTCCAGGAGATTGATCAGAACAAGGCTAGTTGGAGTGCATTATTTGAACCTTACCAATTTTTTGATTCATACAAGAATTTTCTTAAGGTTTCCATAGTTGCCAACGATGCTGATGATCTGCGTATTTTGAAGGGCTGGGTGGAATCTCGTTTGAGGCTTTTGACTCTTCTGGTAAATTTTTTTTTCTTCATGAATTCCTAGTTTGATTTTTTTTTTGTGTTATTTCCTTATTTCATCAAAAAAAAAATATTATTTGGAAAGTTTAACATTTACTACTATTTTTATTATTTTCTTTCAGATTGAGTGGGATACAAATGGGATGTTGCAATGCCACCCAAATCCTACTGAGTATATTGATTCTTCTAAGCAGCGTCCACATAGATTTTTTTTCCTGGGATTACGGAGAAAAGAAGGGTTCAAGGTTGAAGAAGAACAACAATTTGACCTACAAGAAACTATAGAAGAATTTAAAGATCGGGTGAACGTGTTTAGGTCGTGGAGACCTGGTATGGACTTTTTTATTTCCCATGTTCTAAGAAAGCAACTCCCTTCATTTGTATTTCCAGAAGGCTATAGGAAACCTCAGCCTTCACAACAAACTACCCCACAAATCTTTGAGAAAGGTTTCAATGGAAAAAAATGTAGTGGAGGGTCTTTAGAGAGAAAACTTAAGATAAAAATGGTATTTTAGGGGTAGTCTTCTTCATTTGAGCTATCTAGTGCACATGCTCAGAGAGTTAAGCTAAGCAAAAAATGTTTTTCGAGGAGGATTCGATGCAATCAAGTGTTGAGAGTTCTGCCTCTGTCGACTCTAATATGTCGAACATGTCTTCTTCACTTGAGCCATCTAGTGAATGCTAAAAGAGAAAGCTTGATAAGAAGAAGGATTACATGCGTTCAAATCCAGGATTGGTATTTGAACTTGGGTGAAGATGGCAACTTAATCTGATTCTGATCAATGTTGGACAAGTGCAAGCTTTGTGTAATCATCCTCAAAGGCCATTTTTCAATTAACTTTTCTCTCTGAATATGGACAAGATGGCATAGTTGAAGAAGATGCATGCCTTCAATTGTTTTGGCTAGCATATGCAAATGTTTAGGACTCTAAGCTTTTTTTGGGTGGCTTTCATAATGCTTTTTAAAGTGGCTTCCTAATACAAAAATTTCTACTTTAAAAAAATTTTTACTGAAAATTTATTTTAGAAAGCAGTAAGAAAGCCGTCCCGAACGAAGTCTCAATCACTAATTATCTGCCTCAATGTAATGTTTCTCAGGACCTTACAGAAATCATAGATGAGGCATGAGTCTTTAATGTAATTGTCTTTGTATTTGAGCTTATTAAAGTGTTGAAGTCTATAAAATTTGTTTAGGTATAGATTTTTTTTTTTTTTTTTGTTCTTAACTATAATTGTATGATTTTTTTTTCTTATGGAAAATTTTGCACATATATTTTTTCTTAATATATAAAAAGCGAAAAATCTTTGGCATCAATATTTCATTGTATCATTGTTTCTTGATTTTTACACTCTTTATAAGATTTTTTTTTTCAAAACAAAAACAGCTTATTATATTTTCCTATATGCACAATCATAAAGTGATGGAGTTGATAAATATAATAGATAAATCATCATATTTTTAATAACATGGGGAATATTTGTTGAACTATAACATTTTACTATAAGTGGGATGAAAAATGAGAAAATAAAATGTTATAATTGATTAAAAATTTCATAAGCTCATCCAAAAAGCTTAGAAAAAATATACCTCAAAAGGAATAAGATTGCCCAAAAATATCATAAAATATAAGCCTTATAAGAAAAAAAATATACTAAAAATCTTAGATGATTAAAAGCCATAGAAGGTTCATGTTTCTTTAAAAACATCATATGACAAAAGTTTTATAAGGTAAAGATTTCATCAATTCTCCAAAAATTGCAAAAGACATAAGTCTCAAAAGATACAATTTTATATATATATATATATATATACAATATTTGACACGACCCGAAAACCCGACTCGAATCTGACCCGAAAATTTCGGGTTAAGGTCAACCCGAACCTAAAACGGGTCGGGTTCGGGTTCAACATCTTGACCTGTTCAAAAATTGGGTCGGGTTTGGGTTAACCCTTTGACCCGAAATTGAACCAAAAACTCGATTTTGACCCGGCAACCCGTTTTTTACCCAAAAAAAAGAGGAAATATGTCCGTTTTTTACCCGAAAAAGAGGAGATAGACCCGTTTGTGACCCAAAAACTATCATTTTTTTTGTTGGAAACGAGTCATTCGGTTCGTGTCGGGTTGACCCGGACCTGAAGCGGGTCAGGTTCGGGTCAAGAAAACTGACCCGTTTTCAAAAACTGGTCGGGTTTGAGTTGACCCGAATAGTGTCAGGTCAGTTTCGAGTTCGACCCGAACCCGACCCGTGACCCGAAATTGACACCCCTATGAATAATAATTTGTAACTCTTGAAGGAGGAGCACTGTAGCTTGTAAGAGAGATATGCACAGTCTATCTAGGATAGTATTTTATTGAAATCTATAAAAGAAGAATTATGTATCTCCTATATAAGAAAGTGAAAAACTACTCTTAAGAAAAAAAATTTAAGCCTCAGTAAGCGGAGGAATTAATTTCCTCCCAATGTAAGGGGGTATATATATACTTGAAGATGTGGATGGAAAATTATTAAAATTTCAAAAAAGATAAAAATTGAAAAAAGCAACTAAAATTTTTGAAAAAATATTAAAAAAATGATTCAATAAAATTAATAAAGGTGCCTCTTAAGGAGGCACTAAATCGTTCCTTTTTTTTATTGTAATTTTGCACAAATAAGTATTTTTAAGATTTAACATATATTTTCAAATGAGGGGGGTAAATAATATATCTTTAAAAAAAAAATTGTTAGCACGAATCTCAAGATCACCCAAACTCTAGTATATATTAGCAAATTTCTGGTCGAACTGAATGTCTTGATGAAACAAACCCATCGACACCCCAAGTAATATGATCCAACTCCAAATGAGCTCAAATCAAGTATTTGAAATATAAAAACTTCTAAAAATTAATTGAAGAAACAAACGGACCTCAAATATTGTGTACTTCTAGTCAAATGAAGTTGCTTAACAAGATTAATATAACGGGCTTTTAATTATTTAATTATAACATCATTAAGGAGCCTATATATAGAATAAATAATCTATGATCAAGGTTATCAATAGTATTTCATTTTCTACATGAAAGATGTTCAAGAGCTAAGAAAGCTAAAGAAATATATTGCATTTTTTTACAATCACCGCCAACAACCATTATTAGCAATCCTTGCCACCTCTGCTTCACTTCATCCGACTAACATCCAACACAATTATTTGACTTGAATTATTCGGTTGTGTACGCTAGACTTTTGTAATCTCTACAAAGATAATCTAACAATTGTTTTCAGCTTTATAATCTTGTCTTCTTCAATTATGAAGAAGAATGAATTCTTGTACTCAATATATAGGGAATTATTACAACTCATTCAAGCCTTGTTGTATTTCCCATTCTTAAGCTTTTGATGTAAAAGATTATGATATCTCATAACTTTTATCTATGTAATGGGTTTTTGTAAAGCTAAAATATAAAAAAACCCACTTCTTAGTTTAAAATTTATTATATTTTAAATTATCCTCTTTTGCATTAAAATTGCCTCAATTCATGATTTAGTTTGAAAAAAAACTAAAAAAATGAAGAAAATACCCGATATCATAGTGCCATACTCTGGATCACCATGAGGCCAAAATTCTACACCAAGACAGAGAGTAGGACGTTATAGCATGCAAATCCTCAGGATTCTAGGCTTCTAGCACTACAACGCCAAATCACCTCACATCGTAATACTGCCAAGGGCGCTGAATCTCCCGAGCATCATGAAAAAAAAAATTTTAGTTATTCTCATGAAACAACATGTCAATTTGTATTAAGCGTAGCAACACTGTAGCAACATAAAGATATGAAAAATATTTTAAAATTACATATATATATATATATATATATATATATATATATACTAAAGCGCTTCAGTGTTGTGTTTTGTATCACTGTGGCACTATGCTTGAAAGTACAACGGCATCATAAATTGCGAATGTGGCATTTGTCTCTCTGTTCAACAGTAATTTTAGATTTAACATGCAGTATTGTTGTGTCGGATTGCTGTGGCGCTAGGCCACTATTATATATATATAAGATCCTAAGCTTCAATCCCTCGCCAATGTCGCGGCATGCTCATGAAGGCAAGGGAGAAGAGAGGGAAAGGGAGAGGAAGATGAGAGAGAAAGTAATTAAGATTTGGTCGTTTTTGTCTTTGAAAAATGCATAGTAGAAGGGGAACTAGAATGAAGACTTAAAGGCATAGACAGTGGTAATGTTAAGGAAATAGTTTAACAGTGGTAAAGTTAAACTTTGCTAAAGACTCTAAAGAACTTGACAAAGCTGAGTCACATATGCTCTGATTCAAAACATCCATTAGGATAGACCAATATATGTACACAACATATATTATCTTTCATAAGTTTAGAATAATTAGAACATAGAATTTACTCAAGTAAATTTTCAGTAGTTTATTTTTATTAGCACAAATCCTTTTAATTCTATGATAAGATAAATCTAGCCGTTAGTACTACTAAATTAGGATTGAGATCATTATAATCCTCATAAAAATAATACTTGACTCACCTTGATATTTGACCAACATTTAACACTCGCCATTAATCAAAGTCTGGTGTCATTGATCAACTAACATACAGGGCCCCTCATTGATGCCTACATCGATGCTTATTATCAATAAATATCGACAACTACCTTTGACCACATATGAAAACATACCATCTATCAATGATGATACCCATCCTCCACCAATGTTGAATGTTGACTATTGAGTAGTATGGATATTCATAATCGAATAACGCCAATGCTAATTATCAAGTAATTCCCATGACAAGCATTGATGCCTCCACAACTATCATGTGAAGTCAGTCAATTAGTAACCTCCAATGACTATCTTCTCAGTCATTGGTCTCCTCTTCTATGAATCAAATGATCAAGTTGATCATTGATTGCCACCTGGCAACCAAGATTCTCAAATAACCACCCCACAACACTTGTCAATCTTTAACATTTACTAGCCATTGATGTCTAACACCCACCTTCCTATTTATCAATATCTTCTAGTATAAAGAGAACGATCAAGCATACCACTAATTGTATCTCTAACTTTGGAATTCCTACCATCATCCAAAATATGCTGGTTCTTAAAGTCTAACAACCATTAACATTAAGCACTCACCTTGCTAATCATTAGTCTCTCATTTTATAAGGAGAAATATTAAGTCGTTCAGATACCATCGCATAACATTCAACATTCTTAATAAACCATAATTTGATGTTATCAAATGCCTTATGTATGTCAGTGACCAACATCTAATGTCCACCTTTTCGATCACCCTCTCTTGCACCTTATAAGAAGAATACTCGAGCAATACATCTATTGACACTCGACATTCCAAGCTAACCAATATTTGATGCCAACCGATGTTCAACATCTCTCAATCACAAATGTCTGACATCGAGACTCTAGGTCATCAGTCTCTCTACCTATAAAATAATGATCGAGTAGATCACCATCAAATATAATCTAACATATGCCAACAATTAACACGTAATTCCCATCAACTACCGACTTCTAGCATCTTAATTTCTTATCACCAATCTCCACTCTTATAAGGAGTGCTACTAAGATTGCCCGCTCACCATCGCATCATAGCAACTCAAATATCTCAGGACTCCAACTTTCACCATATAAAAAATAATAATTTCTCCTATAGATTACTCTTAATGTATCCCAATAGGAGTGACATTTTTATTACCATACACTATTATTATAAATGCGTTTTTAATTTTAAACAACGGGGATGTAGCTCAAATGGTAGAGCGCTCGCTTTGCATGCGAGAGGTACAGGGTTCGATCCCCTGCATCTCCATTGAATGGCTTTAATTTTTCTTAATTAACGATAAATATTTTTCAGGTAATAATTGTTTTATTACTGAAATTAAATCAGAATTTAGTCAATAAGAGCTTTTATTACATATTAAAAATCTTTTGTAATCAGATAAATATTTTTTTAATAATTCTAAAATTATTGTGAGAAAAATATGTTTTATTAGATAGTAATATCTCCAAATGTTGAAAATAGTTTTTCATCATTGGACTTTTTTAAAAATAATGAGAAAATATTAGCTAAATAAAATTATAATTACTATTTTAAAAATAAATAATGCGAAAATAATTCCAAATAGATCTTAAGTTTACTTTAAATAAAAATTTATAGAGGATTGATTAAGTTTGTTATAAAATGTCTATTTTGAAAATAAATTTATCCAAAAGTGAAAATTTTAAACTATTGTATATTTGTATATTTATTTCCAAAAAAGTTGTATATTTAATATTATGATTAAATAAAATATTGATAATTTTCAATTATTTTTTTAATATTTTCTTGAGTTATCAAGATTAAGATTTTTTAATAATTATAAAATTATTATGCATGTATAAGTTCTGGATGAGAAAAGTAGAGGTTTGAGTTAGGTAGTCGATAGCCAGCGTAAAACTTATCAAGTAATTATGACATGAATCATTTAATAAATTGTGTTAATGTTAGGGCGTCCCCTAGAAACAACGCACTTTATGGCTTGAATACAGTGACAAGTGTGCAAGGGTCACTACACCGGCGCTCAGGTGTAGTGTTAAATAGGCAAGGATTCTCACATCAAGGACGAATGTGGACAAAGAAGTTAGTTCATAAAATTAAAATTAGGATAGGTACTTGGAATATAGGTTCCCTTACATGAAATTAATAGATATTATGATTCATAGGAAGTTAAATATTATGTGCATTCAGGAAACTAAATGGGTTGGAGAGAAGGCTAAGGAGATTGATATTTTAGGATTTAAATTTTGGTATTCAAGTATGTGTCATACTAGAAATGGTGTAGATGTGATTATAGATAAGAGTTTGAAGGATAATGTTATAAAAATTAATATAATTGGAGATAAACTTATAGCTTTAAAGATTGTTATTGATGTTAAGATTATTTATATTATAAGTACTTATGCTTCTTAAGTTGGTTTGGATATGAGTTCAAAATTAAATTTTTGTAATGACTTAGAAGAATTAATACAAAAGATATATCTAGAAGAAAGAGTTTTTATTGAAGAAAGAGTTTTTATTGGAGGATATTTAAATAGATATGATGGTAGAGAGGTAGAAGATTTTAAAAGCATTCATGGTGGTCATGGGTTTTAAAGGACAAATAAATGTGGCAATACAATATTTGATTTTTGTTTAGCTTATATTTTTTTAATTGCTAATATCTTATTTAAAAAAATGAATGAGCATCTTATCACTTATAAAAATGGATATAGTATAACTCAGATTGACTATTTTCTTATAAGAAAATTAGATCGTTTAGATTGTAAAGATGTAAAGTTATTCTAAGTGAAAATTTATGTACCAATTAAACATTAATTATTAGTTTTAGACTTCAAGATAAATGGGCAGAAAATAAAAAAAATAAAGTAAAATAATATTATAGGATTAGATGGGGGCATTTAAAGAATATTAACAAAAATATTTTTGAGAGTAAGATTTTAGATCATAAGATTTTGCCTGCCTTTGCATGAGGATGTTAATGTTATGTGGGAAAAAGTAGGTAATGATATTAAGAATATTACAAAAAATGTGTTTGGAGTATCAAAGGAAATAGTTGGTGGTGGAATTCACATGTGCAAGAAAAGATTAAAAATAATAATATTTGTTATAAAAATTGGTTTAATTGTAAAAACACTTATAATTGAAAAAGATATAAAGAGACACGTAAGGAATCTACAAAAGTAATATGCGATGTAAATACCTTAGCTTTTAATAATTTATATAATAAATTAGATACTAAGGAGAGAGAAAGATATATGTATAAGTTAGCCAAACAAAGAGATAGGAATAGTAAGGATTTAGTTCAAGTGAATTGTATTAAGGATGAAGTTCAAAAAGTATTTTTCTTAGAAGATGATATTCAAAAAAGGTGAATTTGATATTTTGCTAAACTTTTTAATGAATAATATGAAAATACGATTGATTGTAGCGACTTTAGTACCCTAAATGAAATAAAGATTTTTTTTTATTGGCGTATTAGTAAAAACGAAGTTAGAGAGGCTTTAGAGAAAATGAAAGGTGGAAAAGATGTTGGACCTGATGATATTCTAATAAAGGTGTGAAAATGCTTTGGAGATAACTAAATTTCTTGCCTTACTGAACTTTTTTAATATTATTTTGAAGACAAAAAAGATGTCATATGAATGGAGAATGAGTGTGTTAATTCATATTTTTAAGAATAAAAGTGATGCACAAGATTGTGCGAATTATAGATGAATTAAGTTAATATGTCATACTTTAAAACTATGGGAGCGAGTTATGAAGCATAGGTTGCAGCATGGTACTTATGTTTCTCAAAATCAATTTGAATCCATGTTGGGTAGGTCGACTATGGAAGTCATACATTTATTAAGACGTTTGATGGAGAAATATAGAGAAAATAAGGAGGACCTACATATGATATTTATTGATTTAGAAAAAGCATATGATAAAGTTCCAAGATAAGTGTTATGGAGAGTTCTTGAAAATAAATGAGTTAATAACACTTATATTCATATCATTAAAGATATGTATGTATGAGCTATTACTTGTGTTCAAACACAATGTGGTTTGACCAAGTTTTTCTTTATTTTGGTTGGGTTACATCAAGAATCAGCCTTAAGCCCATATTATTTTGCATTAGTCATAGATGTTCTCACCATACATTTGCAAGAGAATGTACCTTGGTGTATGCTTTTTGCTGATGATATTCTTCTTGTTGATAAGACTACATAGGGAGTTGAAGGTAAACTTAAATTATGGAGGTCAACCTTAGAGTCTAAAGATTTTTTCTTAAGTAGATCTAAAAAGGAATATATTTAGTGTAATTTTAGTATTAATATACTTAATGAGGGGATTGTGACTTTGGGCGATTAAGTCATTAATAAGAGTACACGTTTTAGATATCTTAAGATCTATTGTTCAGAGTGATGGAGAAATAGATGGGGATATTATCAGCAGAATTCAAGTTGGATGGTTGAAGTGGAGGAATGCATCAGGCTTGTTGTACGATAGAAAAGTACCCCTCAAACTTAAGGGTAAATTTTATAAGATGGTGGTGAGGCTTGCAATGATTTATGATGCTGAATGTTGGTCATTAAAAGAGAAGCATAATACTAAGTTAAGTGTGGAAGAGATAAGGATGCTCTGGTGGATGAGTAGCTTTACCCTTAGAGATAGGATACGAAATGAGCATATACGTGAAAAGGTTGGAGTAGCTTCAATAGAAGATAAGATTAGAGAGAGTCGCCTTAGATGGTTTGGTCACATAAAACGGCGACCCGATGACTCGATTAGGAAAGTAGAGGCATTAGATTTGACTTATTTTAAGAAAGGTAGAGGCATATCTAAAAAAATTTGGTTAGAAAATATTAGAAATGATCTATTTTTATTAGATTTAAACAAGAATTTGATTTTTAATAGGACATAATAGAGAAAAAGGATTCATGTAGTCGATCCTACATAGTGGGATAAAGGCTTGATGTTGTTGTATAAAATTATTATGAGAAATAATTATATATTAAACATTAACATCTCCAACCGTTAAAAATAAATTTTCTTCACAAAAATTTTTTAAAAGCAACAAAAAATAATAGTCAAATAAAATTATAATTACTACTTGAAAATAAAATAATGATAAAATAATTCCAAATAGATCCTAAGTTTATTTTTTAAAAAAATTGATTAAGTTGGTGATATTATTTGCCCATTTTGAATAAAAAATTTATAAAACTTTCTTATGCTGTGATTGCATTTAAGTATTTAGTGTTCTGTACTTGAAGCCATAATTATTCTTTTAAATGAATAATTAGTCTTCTAAAGAATTATATATATATATATATATATATACAGAGAGAGAGAGAGAGAATATTGCATGTATATCATATATAGAGAGTGCAGAAACATTTGCAACAATTTACAGAGCTTTATTGTAATAAAGTTAAATAAAATTTCAACATATATATAGACACAAGTTCAAATTTGACTCAAAATCAACCGGACTCGAATCCAATCAATCCAAACCCAACCAATTTAAATAACAAATCAAAAATACAAACCCAAGCCTAACTAATAAACCGAATGACCTAAATCCAACTCGATAAACAATTTTGATTTTTTTGAAAAAAAAATTAACTTTTTAACAATAGATTACAAATTAATTAATAAAAAATAAGACGATCATACCTACACGGGTCAAAAATAGGTTTATGGATAAATCCAAATCCAACCTTTTTATTAAACAATCAAACGGAACGCAAATTTTTTGGGCCATGCTCAAGTCGGATCATTTTTTAACACCCCTACTACCAAAAGAAATAAGTATAAAATCATTAAACTTTTATAATATACATATCAAAAAATAATTGCAAGAGAATTTAAGAACAAAACTTGCATATTATACATAATTGCATAAGATTTTTTAGAATTTAAATGGGACTAGAGCCACTCCTAACCCCTCTATGGTTGTAGAAGTCTCACAACTTCTCACAACAAATTTTTAGATTTCAATATCTCCCCCTGAGGTTGCAGAATCACCATCACTATCATCACTATCACTACTGCTACTTCCACTTCCACTACCACTCCCACTACTACCAGTCCCACTAGTTCCGCTCGAACTCGAGGTTTCATCCTGCTCCTGGTCCTGCTGCTGTCCCTCCTCCGCAGCGTTGACCTGCGCCCGAAGAGCTTCAGCTGCATTTGGACCTTTGTCGCCGTCGTCGTCACTCACATCAACATCAGCAATCTCATCATCTGTGTCAGTTTGGTTTGGCAAGTTAATGTCTAATCCAAAGGGATTGGCTTTTGGGGGTGGACCATCATCATCTTCTAGAATGTCCACATTATCATCTGGCTCAGGAGTTTTGGTATCAGGTGATGTTGAAGAAGGATTTGGAAGAGCTGAATGAATGTCAAAGGCTCTCTTTGAAGGTTTTGAACTATCTGGATCGCCAATATCAATTCTTTCCACCTCCATCTGTAAAAAAGAGAAACATAAAAAAAACTTATATAACTAAATTAGAACTGTTTGTGAGAATACAGAGTATCAGAGAGAGATTCATAATAAAAAAACGGTTCATTAGGTTCTTGAGAAACAAATAATTGGATTTACTAAGTAGTTACTGAATAACTAATGGTATAAAAGTAATGAGGGAGCAAATCTCACTGTGAAATCCAGTTATCTTTATCTAAAACCATCTGAAGAAGACAAATGCTGCCACAATGGGCTCTAAGCTAATTTCTAGGAGAGCTATTAGTCAAGTTTATCTATCACCCTCACTGGCATCATCATGATCAGGTCAATCTCAGCTATTTGGCACTTGTTCTAGGAATCCTCGAGTGCCTTCCACTACATTTTCAGTACATTAAAGTTGTGTTGATATACAGAATACATGATCCCCGCTGCTATTGATAGTAAACAGATACAATTCCTTTGACTCTGCCCAACCCAAGTCATTTATATGTTCTTGTTCACCATTCCAATTATTTTAGCATAACGTAGCATTGACCACTTTCATAGCCCTATCAATATATTATCAAAAATTCGCTAAAGAATCCCAAAAGAAATTATGGTCATTGGTTTTAAATCTTAACTAGCAGAGAAGGCCAAGTTTAGAAACTTAGACTTCGTTGAGGACTTTTTTCCTGCTTCTTAACACAACTTTTTAGTAAAAAAATAAAAACTTTTGCACTAGACAGTTGCTTTAAGAAGCAATAAAAAAGCTGCCCCAAACGAAGCCTTAATTCTTCCTTAACAATTTACCATTATAATTAATTAAAGCTTGATAGTGAATAAATGGCTAATGCAATCAAAACATTGAACTTAGGAATAAATGAAGCAAATGATCAAACGATCATGAAATAAACATAAACTTCTACAAAGGATGACCATGACATCAAAATTCACCCACCGCAACAAATTACGGTGCATTTGGGAAAAATTGTTTACAATTTGCTTTATAAATAAAAAACTGTTTGGTGAAATAACAAATATCCTCTCAAGAGCAGTGCATTCCACATAAGGAAGCTACGATTTACCCTTTTGAGAGGATATTTGTACTATTTCTCCCATAGATTTTAGTGAAATTACATATAATACATTTCAATACGACCCACTAAATTAGAAGGCAAAAGAATTGGTTGTTTTACCCCTCTAAATTTTTTTTTTTTACTGCCACACATATCAAGCACTACTCTTATTTATAAAGACCATCCATTGATTTGCTTATAAGCGAAGTTCTACAAAGGACTAGTCTCATTATTTGCAATCACCATGGTTATGCGAAGGAGGTTTCTATTCGAAAGCAAAAGAGACCATCTGTAAAAGTTTTTTACCTTGTGAATTTTATCCTAAATGTCTTTTTGCAATATACAACTGATTGTTTTATTATCATCTTTCTCCTTGGCTTTACATTGCATAGTTCTGATGTGCATTTTCATGTCTCTTCCTCTAAACAAGTTAAGCATGGTATAAATGAGAATGTCAAGATGAATGTGTAAAAAAATTGGAAGGATGGATTAAGAAATGATTATATTAGAATGAGAGTGGGAGTACCATCTATTGGATATAAGGTAGTACAAAATAAATTTAAGTGGTTTAAGCATGTAAAATTAGGACACAATGGAGAAAAAGGATTCAAGTAGCCAACCCCACGTAGTGGGATAAAGGCTTGATGTTGTTCTTGTTGTTGTAAGCATGTAAAACTAAGGATGCAACAAGCACCAATAAGAAGGGTAGATAAAATTTATCTCAAAGGCATACGAAGAAAAAAGAAAGAACAAAAGTAATTTGGTTAGAAGTATGCAAAAGGGTTTCGGCAAAATATGTTTAATACCTCATACATCACTTAGCAAAGTGAAGATTGCTTTCACTAAATTGATTTGACGATCGCAACCTTGTGTGGTGTTATCTAATGATTTTCCAAGTGTTATGTTTAAAATTATTCATTCAACAGAAACCATCAAAATGAAAATTGCTTTCACTATACTTACATGGAGGTTGTTTACTTGGCGTATGAGCTCAAAGGTTCAAATCCTGTAAACTCAAGTGGAGATTACAAGGTCTTGTAGCTTAGCATGTGAGTTTATTAGATTTCAAAGCAATTTGATTGACTTAGGTTTTCCAAATATCACAGGGATAATGAATTGATTTAATTTTTTCAATTAATTTAAATTATTTAATATTTATTTACACATGAAAATTATCTTATTTATTATTTTATTTAGTAATCATATGCTTAATTTGCTCATCCTTATAATGTTAATTGCATCTTGGCAAATTTAATTGATCCTAAAATTCTCATCATATTCATCAATCTCACTTTATATACTTAATGGTATTAATTATATCATCAATCTCTTAATTAAGAAAAAGAAGCTTAATGATAATACATTGAATATTGCTTATTATGCATTCACATAATGCAGGCGTGCAAATTTGATTTAACAAGCCAAATATGTCAATTGTGTTTACATCCAAAAGAATATCCTGGTGATATGATTTTTTAGATCCTTATTTTAGATGAAAAATATCAGCAACTCCTTGGTACCAAAAGATAAATTAAAAGCAAGCATGTCAAATAATCATGTCCAAGAAGCCACATGGAGCAAATACTTACATGCACTGCATGATTTATTGGTTTGTTTAATGTTTGTGACTTCATAGTTTTGACAAGTGGAGGAGATCGTGACTCCACAGCTGGCGCATTTGTAACCGTAGTCGCATTGTTAACTGCTGCAAATTCGCCAGGTAGCCGCACATGCCTCAGCCTCTTTACAGCTCGATGTAAACGCTCCAGGCGAAATGACTTCCCGTCGAAAAACAAGACACCGTCATTGTCCTTGTAATCCTCACTAGTTCCTTCAAAGGTCACCTTTGGCTTCCCAAGTTGATTATTGTTGAATTCAACTGTCACCCTATTATCCTTGGTCTTATGCAGCATACCTGCTTGGTTCTTGTCAATTGAAGCTGGCTTAAATTCATCTGAAAAATTCAAATTCTTGTCTCAATTTACAAAGCAAATTCAAAAGAAAGCAGTGATGAATCAAAAGGAATTGCTGTCAATCAATTTGCAACCTTAAAGTCAGAATTGACAGCATGCATCAATAATATGTTCTTTACTCATATCATATGTGTGTATAAGATATGCTTAAATCATTAAGAAAATACATCCTCAAAAACAAAATGGTCATAGTAGCACAACTCTTTTCAAGAGCTTCTTCTATTCTTCTCAATACATGCTCAAATTATTTCATGTTCTCCATTATCTTATTTTCAATAGCTGTAACACCTACATTTTCTATAAAATTCATCTTTGGATTCCCAAGTGAATTTCAATGAGAAAATCAAATTCAATTACTGTTCCTTTAGCTAATATATATTTATTAAAAAAAAAAAAGAATGCCATCTTCTATATTTACCCATGCCAAGCATGAAATGTTGCCTATTTATAAATCCAAAAAATTGCATGCATAACTAGCACAAAGTAACCACATTAATACCAACCTTAGTATTATTTTGATCTTCAATCACCACCGGTTAATCATTTCCGCATTGATGTCGAGTACAATTGCAAACCATATGCTTCGAAAATTGTCCATGTTTACAAATTTTTATCACATTATTTTCCAAAGCTTTTATACCATTGGTTTTTTCTTTTTCCTATTTTTTCTATTTTTGTCATTCCTATTAGAAATACATCTCAAATAGAAGAATTCAGTTGAAAAACATATATGTTTTTGGCTATAATATATGAAATGCCGGAACTAAGACAAAAAGATTTATGACGACAAGAACAACAGGTTAATGAATACACAAAATGAAATTTTTAAACAGACGCCCTGTAATTAAATCAAATAACAAAACAAAAGTTCGCAGAGATTAAAATCCTGATTCCATAGAACTTTTATGATATCTAAAACGAACGAAAAAAAATTAGACAAAATGAAAACTTTCTTAGCACAGAATAAAAGGCTTCACGAGGAGATTCGAGACGCGAAAACTCACATCGAAGCGTGCAGTACTTTGAGGAGGGCCGTTCTTTGAATGAAGAACCTAGTTTCAGTCCGTACCATCTTTCCGGCTGTGGAGCCGAGCTCGGCTCGCCGCCGTTGTTCGCCATCAATATCCCCTGTCGGAAAATCTAACAGAACACAGAGCACGGACAAGGAGATCCGACGAAGAAGCAAATCCAGCCTTGTCAACCCTAACTCGCGAAGGAATAGATAATTCTTCGTATTGTCGCAGACAATGCTTTACCACAGGATGCGAAGGAAAAGTTATGCAGTAAATAATTTTTTTTTTAATAGTGAGCAAAATTTTAATAATCAATTATTTTTAAATTTATGTCCTCTAAAAAAAATCCCAATAATTAAAAAATAAATTATATATGCCTTAGAGTTTGCATTAATTTGCTCAAAATATTTAAAAAGTAATTTTATTTTCATTTATTTAATTAAATTATTATGTAAAAATTTATTTTTTATTTATTAAATTTAATAGAATCTTCAAATT